GCGTCTAGGGACTTCAGAATATTTGTTAAAAAGTTACAGTGCTTTGTGTACTTGCAAAACAAACACAGAAGAACAAGAACAACAACAAAGTAAACAGCCTATGTTTAATTTTAGTGTTGAGCAGACAACTGACAAGGGTCCGTGGTTTGTTTTCACTGCAGACTATAAAAGATGTGCCAGGTTACTTACTCGGCTGGCTGTCAGTCCCATGTGCATGGAGAGATAAGGTAAGCTCCCAAACAATCCTGGTGGCTACACAGCAGGTGTCAGAACCCCATTTCGGTCATAAAACACACATGGAATTTAGTCATGCATTCTTCCTCCACAATAGTCACTCTGAGCAAGACAGCCAACTTACTTCAAAACGGTGGCCATGAGTAGAAGGCTCCCCCTGCTGGATGTCTGTAGTGGACATTGTCACTGGAAGTTCATACAGCACTTAGCTGATTTCAGCACAGGCAGTTTTACATCAGGATACATGTTTCAACCTATTGCTGTTGACTTCCTGGTTCAACTATTACTGACATTTATGGATGGACACAGATTTCTTTCAAATTTTATTTAATAAACAACATAGAGGATGTGGTAGGCTAGGAACTGGCTCCCTGCTAGCCGACAATGCACTGTGTATCAGCCCATAAAACCACTTGCTCTCAAGCACGAGGCTCAAGAGTTTAAATCCCTATTAGTCATGTAAAATGCCAGACATGACTATAGACACGTAACCCCAGAGCTGCAGTGGCTATGCAGAAGGATCACCTTAACATCAGTTTCAGTGACAGACCTTGTCTTGAAGGTCTTAGGTGGGTAATATACCAGAACGCTCAACACCCTTCTTCTCCAGCTCCTGTATGCATAAATGGGCATGCACATCTACACACACATGTACCTACCACATGCACACACAAAACCCTGAGACATGCTTGTCAAATGTTCATTCCTTTCGCACCTTAGTAAAACGAAACATTTTTTCATGCTTATACATGTTCCACTGGACCAAGCATCTTCTGCTTGATTTGGTTTTGTTTTGTTTATTTAAGTTACATTATACTATTTGTTACTAACCACGACCATACAGATTTGACATATCTTGTAAAGGTTTAAAAGTCTTATCATTAGAACAAAAACATAACACAGATAACATTGATGCTTCTCAGTGTGAACGCTAATAGTGGCAGAAATGTAAGTGCGCTATCAGGTTGTAACTGTACGCTGGACTCCTGAGGCTCTCAATGTGTTGGGGGAAGATAGCATTACTTCCCAACACAAATTCCACAGTACAAATTGACAGGACTTTAATCAGTTCTGTACTTTTAACGTTATAAGTGTGCCAGACATTATTAGGTGGGAATCCATACCACAAATAAGATCTACTTCCTGAGTGCAAATGGCTGTTCCCAGAAAACATGCCTGCTGTCCAGAAAATACAAAAACAAAAGGTGAACGTTACATTTTTTTAGTAGTTGCTTGTCTCATAAGAAATGGGTGAGGGCAGCAGTCTTTCTTATACAGGCATGCTCAGAACAAAGGCAGCACTGTGCACTGAGGCGACCCTTGGACCTGGCTGGGTCAGCAGGGCCAGTGCACAGCAGCCTTGCAGTGTTGGCCACCACATCCCCACAATCTGGATTGATTTTTTTTTTTTTTATCACGAGCAAGAACCACTAAAAGTAAGAGGCTCTCTACTAGGGATGAAGTGGAAAACAGCAAGGGCTGCGCACACACCCGGTTCTCTCTAGAGGAAGCGGGTGTTCTTATGCCAAAGCTGAGAAGTGCATGTCCTCATTTCCCTTCTTTCCAACATTTTCCATTTTCTCAACCACTGCATTTACAGCACAGAGAAGTGTCTTCTCTTACACACACACACACACACACACACACACACACACACGCTGAGGGAATAAAAACCTCACTTCCATTACGTGTCTTTGTAGAGGTGTCACCACTTTACTAGGAAGACATTTGGGAAGTACTTCCATTTACCTGCAAATTCGGGAATGTCCAGCTTTCATGCCTTTGGTACTATCTAGCCTCCTGAGGACTGGCTGCCCCTGCGCAGGACTCAGTTTTCCAGAGACAAATCACCACCAGTACTCATGGGCCTGCTCTAATTGGTCTGTATGTGCCAGGCCTCAGCAGCATATCCATGCTTAGCCAGTAGATTACAGAAAACCATGAAGGAAAATGTTGTATAGACATGGCATGGAACAACCACATTCAAGTCTCACACCGGCCTCTGCTATACCCCCTGCGTTATCTAGTGTGGATGTGACAGGATACTGCAGCACAGTTACAGGGTAGAAAGATCTGTGTTCCAAAACTTCTGCACCAAAGGCTACCTGCCTCAACAGTCATGTGTCCAAAATGGAATAGTTCACTTTGGCCAAAATACAGGTGTGGACATCAGTACAAAACACTAGTATCTGTGTTGACTATTAGTTTACAACTTTTATTATTTATTTTTTTTAAAGACTTACATAGGCATCCCTGTACTTTGTAGATTGGTTCAGGGCACTAGTCAGACCATCAGGGCCAGAATAAGCAGCATGTGTCACTACAGTGGGAAAAATTCTGAACACACGTTCTGCTGGTTCACAGTGGCTACACCAGTTTTCTGCTGTATCTAGTCCTCATTTTCTATTTTCAAGACTACTGGACTAGATTTCTGTCCCAGCTCTAGACCAGAGGCAAAGGGCAGGTTTTACAAGTCCTATAAGAAAAATGAGCAAATGCATGAGGTTTCCTTGGGGAAATTCGGTAACCATCTTCTTACCAGAGAGAGCATATTCTGAGTCGCAGACACCTCCTTACTGAACCTACAGGTCAGCTAAATGAAAGCCTGCGCTCTGGGCTACTGTTTAAAGTATACGCATGAATACGGAGTATACAAACACATGGTCTAACCTGAATACGGCCTAGTAACCTTGACCTTACCTTCACGACTAAAAGGTAAACAGGTATTCTAACAAGGAGTACTAAAAGGGTTTTTGATTAAATAGTGGCTTTGTGAACACAGCAGTGTGAGGCAAACAAACTCTTTCCCAGAGGTGACACAAGCTGCAAATCTGTTGACAGAATACCCAAGAGCCCCATCAAACATGTAAGACCAAGCACTAAACGTAAGAATTTATCCACAAGCGTGCACGGTGGCTGCCATCCTTACCCACACTGAGCACTACAGAACTGGGTTGTTTCCCAGGTTGGGAGTGGGGGAAGGACCTAGACTTTGAAAATAAGAGAAATACGGGCTCCTTGTTTATAAATGTTATTATAGTGCTAAACTTGCACCATGTCCTCTAGGATTGGTAATAAGAAGCGGGCAGCTATATAAAGTCAAATGTCATTGTTTTCAGCTGCAGAGGAGCGACACACCAGGAACCTTGAAAAGTGCCTTGGAAACCAACAGAACAGAACCATCTTCATGCCCACTTCCTGTGGACAGAGATTTATTTTTGCACTCTTCCATACATCCTTTGCATTTTCTATGTTGCTGGCAGTTTACAAATATACATTCAGCAAATCAGTGTATCTGTCAGTGAGGTTTGCCACTCTTAGATTATAAGAACAGACAACACTCCACATTTGATGTATTGTTCTGTAAAATGAGGTATTTCCGTTTTAAGATTAGGTGGAACCACAAGGAATATTTTAGACACATAGGCAGAACATTAAACTGTATTTTCATAGAGTATATAGTATGATTTGACATTTTGTATTCTATAATTAAAATCCCAAAGTATAGTTTGGAACTGCATGAAATTTTTTGATGAAAACCAAAAAACCTCAGTTGTGTTGCAGACAGTGGCATACGTATCTGTGGATATGCCCAGGCCAGTCCCATTTGTCCTCTGTAAATGTAAAAGTACATTCCATATATTGTACAATATGTAAATACTGTGAATAAATACAAGGAAATAAATGAAGTGTTTGGAATAATGAACAGTTTTCAGAATGACTCTTCTAGAACAATGTCATGGCTCAGAATATATATGTATATATATATGCGTATACACACATTGTTCACACTCTGTATAGAGGTAACTAAGCATTGAATGATATAAATTCCTCCTGATTGCTCTGTCTCATTTAGTCATATAATACTCCAAACCCTCCACAGCTACCATTTCTAGCTGATTGTAAGAGAATGCTAAACCATGAAGCGCCCTGAGAACAGTTTTAAACTTTAATAGCTATATTTTAAACAAATGTAATTTGATTGAATGTAAAAAGTTAAGTTTCTCTGTTCATGAGCCCTTATAAGCACACTGTGCTGTTTGGGACAGCCATAGAAGAAAGCAGCACCAGAACCCCACATTCCAAGGACCTGCCTGTAGGATACACATGTAAAATGTCAAGAATACAGTAGGATCTGATGACATGAAGAACTCGGAGACTCTGAAGCACTACTGAAGTAGGACGGACAGCTTCTGACTTCTCTGTTTCCTCCTGTGGCTGACTACCTGGCCTTTCTCTTCCTAGCTTTTAACTTTGTGAAAACTCTGACCAAAACCCCACCAGAGCCACAAACAGGCAGTTGAGTATCTGTCTTTGCTGGGACATCATGGTCTTTCTGTAAGAGGGTGTCGGGATAGCTGCTTTCTTCTGGAGAGTCAGGTTTAAGCTCTCCTCCTTTGAGAGAGTGGCCCTGGCCAAGCAGATACCTGCATAGTCCCAGGTCTCTGCTTCCATCTGGACGCCTCTTCTAACTAGAAGTTCCACATGACGGGAGCTCACCCATTGTGATCAGAGAGAGAGCTACGACAGGCTAAGGCAGACAGATCACCTTTTCAGCTAGGAAGTGGACAGGGAGCCTCAGCTCCATGAAGAAGGCCCAAGGACTCGAACAGCTCCCGAGTCTCTCAAGTAGACACCCATCACCATCCATCACAGCAATGTGTTACTTTCCTTATCACTTTACTTTCTAATGGAGAAAGAGGCTAAGAACCCAAACCTCACTCGAGCAAACAAAACCAAAACAAACAAAACAGCACAGGGAGGCAACGCTTTGGTATCTTGTTCATTTGTCAGTAAGAAGCAGGCAGACAACAGATTTGTATTTCAGTTGTATTTGATAACTTCCCAGTTGAATTCACATCCCTTTCTGACATACATCTATATAAATTTGAGGTCCCTTTTCTGAAAATACACTAAAATTACTCATGCTTGCCTATAACTGTAAACTGCTGATGAAAGAACACTTACAAACACATACCACTATTTAAGCACACTTACTTTTTTTTTTTAAAGAAGCAAAGTGGCTCAAATAAGACAAAGCTCAAGAAACTAGACAAAAACCAAGTAAGACTAAAGCTGTTAACGTTACCAACCTGTTGCTCCTCTCTGTTACTATTTTTGTTTATTTTTAGACAGGGTGTCACTGTATAGCCCAGGACGGCCTGCTGGAGTTCCAGGCCCGTCAGCACATCCAGCATCTCTTCTCTCAGATACCTGAATACCCTCAGTGTGTCTGGGTATAAACTCTTCCAGTGCTAAATGGAAGGCTACCATGGATGGAGATACTATCACAATAAGAGTCTAGAATAGACTCTTAATAAGGCAAGCAAATAGCACACTGGGTGCTGGCCATGCGCACACTCCAGTAAGACCAGAGTACCCAGGCTTGCTGGGCTCAGAGGTTGACCTGGACCTTGTAGGTTATTCTTACTTTATTGAGTTTTCTTTTGTTTCATATTTGCTTGTTTCAGTATTTTGTAATTTGGCAAGGTCAGAGGTTTAGTTAGTCTAAGAATGCTTAGCCATACCTCAAACTGTCTCACTCAAATGTTTTTATCCTTCTGAACATATGCCTTATTTCCACCTACAATTATTTTAAAATATACAGTAAGTCAGCTGAAAAGAGAGGTGGGACATGGGGCTAAGGACTGCCACCACCCTGGGGCATAGCACTGACGAGTAAGTTGCTCAATGGTGGTGGGTAGGACCAGCTAGTAAGTCTTCTCCAGGAAGGCCTTGCAGCACCTAAGGCATTGCTGGTACACCACCTCGAAGTCAGAGTCATTGCCCTGCAACAACATAAAAAGAAAAACCAGCAATGGTTTATGATGACAGTGTCCTCAGAAGACCCAAACCTGTCATATAATACCACAGAACACATCCTGCTCATTTAATACCACAGAATACATCCTGCTCATTTAATACCACAGAATACATCCTGCCCACCTTAACAGAGGCTCCACACCTGAAATGAACTTACATAATAGGGATCTTCAATAATGAGTTGCTTCTGTGGATCATAGCTTCCAAGTAGCTCAATTTTAGCTTTGCAGTTTTTAACTTGATTACTTTTTCTATTCAAATCTCTGTAAAATCGAAACATGAACTTAGATTTCTGATCTATGGTTTTAAGTTAAACAGGGACATCTGCTCAGGGTTTATGAAATATCCTATCAAAATACAACAGTGCAACCTGATTTGAAATGAAACAGAACACTCTGTAGACCTATGGGACTCCTGCAGCTGTATGCCACAGTGCTTTGATTCTGATACCCAAAATGTGTATCTTTAACTCACATAATAATTACGTTTTCCACTGTGAAATGTATTTTGATACAATAAAAATGATAACATTTCAGATACATAAAACAACAGAAAAGAACTCAAAAGACCATGTGTACCACATCCCTTGACAATGTTCAGGGTCAGTTAAGACAGGAGGAAGATGGATTCAGTACAGGACGGTGGAGCAAGGCCAGGACCAAGTATGGTTAGGCAATTAAGTTTAGCGGAGAGCATTCAGGCCACAGTGGCAGCAGCTATGGGTTTTAGGCCCTTCTCTACCCCACCCATCTGTCTCGTGAATCTAGGGTAAGTCCATGGTTCCTCAATTTCTTCTCTGGTATAAAAAGGTACATTTATTGATGAGGGTGTGGACCTGCAGACCATATCAGTTTTACAGACTCAATCACCACTACTTAACCCCTAGCCCATCAGTGTTGGTTAGCAAAAACCATAAAGCCAGTGAGGTCTGTCTTGTCAGACTTACTCTAGAGTGCAACAATTATACGGAAATGGGATACAAGAGACTTTGCATCTGTTACAGCAGTAAAAGAATCAGTGACCAATGCATCACCTCCACACCTAGAGTCCCAAACCAGCTGGTCTCCATGTCCATTCACAAACTAGCTGGACTGTCTCCTTGATCTTCCTGTCCTCCTGAATAACTCTATAGACTGTAATCAACCTTGTACATAAAAAAATATTAAGACAACAGACAGTCTTTCTAGACAACTTGTTGGGCCTGTAACACAATTGAGACGAGGAAAGAAACACTGTGTAAACCATGATTACTGCATAGACTGGACATGTAGTGCTCACCTTTACACCTAGCACTTGGGAGGCAGAGACAGGTATACCCAAGTTCCAGGCCAGGTCTACAGAGTGACTTACAGGGCAGACAGAAAAAAAAAAAAAAAAAAATATATATATATATATATGATTACCTCAGATTGCTTTCATCCATACATAATATATAATCGAATGTTGCAAAGTCTTCTTTTGTAATCTACAATTAAGAAGTCAAAAAATAGTGATTATATCCATACAAAATTATAGTTGAAAAAAACCATGTAATTACATGTTAACTCATGAACTAAATTCTATGTTCACTTGTCAACTAAAATTTTAACAGAATACACAATTTATAGGGAATATTTTAAGTTAAATACAATCATTGTATTTCCAAAATTTTATTATAAAATAATTTTGTAAAAGGTTCTTTGAAATAATCAGAAATATAAAACATGGACATAAAATTTGCTGTTAGTTTTGGTCCCTCAGTAAGATATCATCTGAAATGACTTCATCCAGTCACCTCCACTCTATCTGTCATTCCATGACTGCCTCAGGCCTTGGGAACACACTCCAGATTAACTAAGGAACAGATCTTTGTTCTTGTGAGGCCATCCCTATGAAGGAGAATAAATACTCTCAAGGAAAGCAAGGCAGAGAGGAGCCGCAGGGCCTCAGAAAGGGAGATGAACTGATTCTCAAAGGGGAGAAGGCCCACCAGGGACAAGGATCCACGAACGCAAGTCCGTCTTAAGCTAACATGGAAGATCCTGTGGGTCTTTATCACATGAACTTTTTTCTGGCACCACACAGTTTAAGACATGTAAGCTCCCTTAAATGTAATTAAATGTAATTATCTTCTAGATTTTGACCACCTAGGAAATACCTGGGGTAAAAGAACAATGACTATAACCAAACAGTAATAAAAATGATCACTTGCTTGTTACTCTACTAAAAATGAGAAATTTTAGCTTTTAGTATGTACTTCCATATACTATTAGCATAGCATTTAAATAGTCACAAAGGACTGTATTGTTTTAATATCCTCAAGACCCAAGACTCATAACTTATTTCAAATACATTAAACAAATACTATCATATAAAATATGTTATTTTTTCAAGTTATAGAAAATATCTTAGGGGGTAAAAAAAAATCTTAGCACTAATTTTGAACTTATTATAATTAATTTGTCCTTAAAAAATGTCCTGCTTAATGACTTACAGAGTCAAACCACACAGATTTTGGATTTTAAAATAACTGACAAAGAAGAGCAGCTAGAGCTTTATGTCATGAATAATGCAGCGTGAAGCACAGGGCAAACTAGTCCATCCCATTATTAGAAAACCTACACAGAAACCAAGATTCTTCTCCAAGATTATGAGCGTGCTCCTAAGAAGGCCTGGCTCAGGACAGCAGTGTGACAGGAATACAGCCACAGAAAACAGATCACCTCCAGCTGAGTTCCTATGCGTGGACCTTACCTGCTGATCCCAGTGAGTACTGCCTAGACCCTCCCAGAGTTCTGTCTCAAGTCATTGTAGCCAAGAGCTCTTTAACCCCCAAGGCTTTCAAGTCCATTTCCAAACAGCCCATTTAGGAGGTTTTATTATGCCTAAAACTAAAACAAAATCAGTTTTTTCTTAATTAAAAAAAATACAAGTCCAGGACTAGAAAAATGGCTAAGTGGTTTAAAGATACGTGTTGCTATTGCAAAGGATCCAGGTTCTGTTCCCAGCACCCACATCATGTCTCACAACTGTCTGTAATTCCTGTTTCAGGGACTGTGATACCCTCTTTAGCCTCTGCTAGCACTGCACAAATGCATACTTTCAGGTAAAATACTCATACACATAAAATAAAAATAAATGAATATTTTTTAAAGAATTAAAAATCCATTATAGCTATGGGCCTTTTTGTTAGGATGTCTCTGTCTCTCTCTCTCTCTCTCTCTCTCTCTCTCTCTCTCTCTCCCCTTCTCCCCACAACCGTGTGTGTGTGTGTGTGTGTGTGTGTGTGAACTTTGGTCCTATGGAAGAGGAGGACGTACTCTTAGACACTGAGACATCACTCTAGCCCACAGGTGGTTTTAATTTTCAGTTCAGCAAATGGCACTGTCAGACCGATTTTCTTACTTGCCTCTACACTGGGTTATATTATGATACACCATGTAAGGTGAAATTATGTGCAATTTAGGAATGCTTCCAAAGGACCTGTGGATCACTCTGGAGTACTAGTGCTTGATACTAAACCATAACTGAGAAGGCAATGGTTAGAGGTTAGCTATAACGCACACTGAGTCCTACACAAAGAGTCACCAGGACAACGATGCCAATGGCCTCCAGGGCCTAGAAGCCTCCTCAAGAGCAAAGAAAGCCAGGCAAAGGTGATGGTGGAAAAGCAGGGACCTACCTGCCCTGATGCCTGGGACGTGGAGCCAGGCCTTGTGGCAGGACAGTGAACCCTGGAAGAGCATGGGCCCAGAAAATGAAAGTTGGTATAGGTTGTTCCACTTGACCTGACCAAGTCCTCTCCTGCCAGAGCAAGAAGCTCAAGAGACCAATGAGAAGTTATGTGCACTCAGTAAATAAAAGCGAGCATTCTACTCTCCGAGCTGCTCCTGCCCTGCAGGTGAGCAGTCCATGCCATCCTCAGGCCCAGCAGCAGAAGGGTACTCAGTGGTACTGAGTGTGCAATCCTACTGAGATCCTGCATCTGACAACACCTACCAGCATCCTCACAGCAACAGTGGTAAAACTGTGATCTTTCAAAGGCACTATGATTATTTACACAGCACCAAAAGGGCACCACACAGCAAAATCAAGAAGAAAGCCAACTTGCCAGGCCTAGTGGTACAGGCCTGTAATTTCAGCTCCTTGTGAAACAGAAGCAGGAAAAACATGTTCAAGGCTAGCCTAGGCTACAGAGTGAAACTGTCAAAATAATAACTAATGCTGGGGATAGAGCTCAATCGCAGATCACTTGCATATAAGCATGTACCAGGCTCTACCTACGGTGTAATTCCCAGTTCTCCAAAAAGAGAAAAGAGAGCAGGCTCATCTATGACCCAGAAAGGCATTAGCAGACCTTATTTAAAACACTAAGAATATGTTCACTTGTGAATTCACAACAGTTTTTGTTACCTACAAAACATGGAGCCCATCAATATTCTGGCAAGAATGAGGGAAGAGAATGTGAGGGCTTACCCTTAGTTGAGGGGATAATTTTTCTTCACTGCTGTAGCCAATGGTAAATTATCTACTGTGTAGTAAATAGCCCCACATCATAGGCAACCAAACAATTCTAATTAAACTCAGTGGGATGAATAGACACACACACACAAACACACACACACCCACAGAAGTAGGGGAAAGGTCTGTCAGGAAGAAGGAATCTGGGGGAGGAGGAAGGAGATAAAAGAAACAGAAGTCAATAGGAGCAAATATAGTATGCACAAGTATGAAACTGTCAGAGAATCAATTATAAAATAAGAGTTAATAGTATGATGTCCAGAAAACTGTAAGAGGCTGTTTCACCAGAAAACTACAGTTACAAAAAGGTCAAGTAAAACTTAAAATAGTCTGTCAGTAAGAACATTAGCAGAACAGAGACCTGACCAGCAGGAAACCTCGCAGTAAGAACAGCGTAACAGGATGCAAACAGGAGAAAAGAACACAAAGATGTTATGTCCAATACACATAAAAGCTGCCTCTCAGGAAAAAAGTAAAGCCTAATTTCCCAAAAACTGGTTAAAAAATCATCAAGTCACAGTTCAAACAGCATGCTTTGGTCTCCCACAGCAAAGCTGCTTAACTGTAGACCAGAAGAAAATCAAGCAGCCAGAAAAAAAGACATATAAAATTTCAAATCAAAAAACTAGCAAAAACAACCAATCAGATCAGTTTTCCAAATAAAGTAGAGATACTATCAATTTTTTACACACACACTTCTTTAAGAAGACATGCCCCATGCATCTGGTGAGATATAGGTACAGACACTGGCTATGAGCCATTAGATGGCTCCATCTGCGGTGTCACTGCCCAGACTCTCACAACGGAAGCTGCCCACATGCCCAGCAAAGGTACAATAGGTAGACTGATACAGCACTTAACCCTGACCAGGGCAAACTGCTGTGACACTCAGCAGCGGCGTGGACAAGACGCTACATATGCATGGGCTCCACTGCTATGCCAGGGACATGGTGCATACCTGCAATCCCAGCCCTGGGACACAGTGCATACCTGCAATCCCAGCCCTGGGGAGGCCGAACCTCGAGAACTGCCTCAAGTGTCACCCTGACTCAGCAACACAAAATGCAAATGATTAAACCACTCCTAGAATGTTAAAACGCACAGTGAAACTTTGTGAGTGACCTCTGCATGAGAGGGAAGAAGCGGCCATACAACCTCAGTGTTGGACTCAGTCCATGGAGAAGCTGATAAAAAGACACTGAAAATGTGGACCCTTGAGCAGCAAGGGCGGTTTTCCAGTCTGCCATGCTAAAAGCTCCTATCCCAAGACACTGCTATGCGAGTTCAAGAGAACTGGCACCCTAACCATGTGCCATTTCCTAAACCTAAGTGGATAGATTAGAAAAATAGAATTTTAAGAACTGTACTAAAATAGTTATGTACATAAAGTGTGGCACTTACTAAAGAGAAAGAACCTGTAAACATAAGGAAAATGAGATACTGACATATAAAGTATTCTTTATGAGTGCACTGAACTGAACAACCAAAGACAATAAAAAACAATGGTTGAGAACTTTTTCTTAAAAACAACAACATAAAAGAAACAAAGATTCTCTGGAAACCCTACTCCTAAAGCTAGTCATTAAAATTGCTCTGGAGGACGTTCCTAACTTTGCTTTTCAAGGCCTAGGTATTTAAAATGCTATTCTGTTTGCTTTTGTTACACACTGAGCAGAGGAAACAGAACCACATGTCTTACAGCTTTGATTGGCCACTCAAAGTGAGTCCACGTTCCCCAAACAGTGGCAGATTGGCCACGTATGCAAAAGCCTGAAATGATCTAAATGAACAAATGATACAAAATCTTTCACCTTCTGCCTAATGAGATCAGCAATAAAAAGGGGTCAATGAACAACTTAATTTCACTAAGGAACTCAAAGAAATACAACAGCTGCCATCTTCTGATAATATGGGTACAACACTATCTTCATCTGTAACTGAAGATTTTGTTCTTAATTCCATAGTCTTCAAGACAGACAAGTGTTACCACCACCACCAGAGCTCTGCTAGATGTTTAAGGTACTTCAAAATAGAAGAGACATTTATATGTACTAACAAACTAGTAGCATAAGCAGAAATATGTCTAACCAAAAAGTCTGCACATGGTAACATAATGAAGACCACAGCCAGGTCTGGCTCACAGCAAACACTGTCTCACTGTGGTCTATGCCTTTTATCTGTACTTTAACAAGTTATCCAAGGTCATCCAAATCTTCCACAACTACACAGATGGCAAGTTAGTCGACTCCAACCAAATACATTCCGCAACACACAGGGTGATCAGACTCACAAGCTATGGAATTTTATGTAGTAGAAGTTAAACAAGATCTTTTCTACCTGTCTTGCCTTATGGGCTGTGCTAATGCCATGATTTCTTAGGCAGCTGACAGCTCTTGGGTCTGGGGGCCGGCCCACGTTCCAGTCGGAAACGGCGCTGCTGTCAATGGCCCACTGTAACACAAAACATATGTCAAGCTCCAGTACGGTACCTGCCGTGCAACGTGTTGCATGTGGATGCCATGTTTTCTCATGCAGTTCTGCCCTCGATAGTCAGGGGGGTTCCCCACTTCATAGGTGGATGTAGCCGCACTGTCTATCCTCCACTGCAGGAGAGAAAAGAAGTGTTCTGGCACCTTGCTGCCCAAAGGCATTCAGCCTGGACTCTCCACACTACTGAATGGTACTCACATTATCTGAAACCTTTTCATCAGTTACCAATTTTCTGAATACTGCTTCTGCAATGGGTGACCGGCAAATGTTACCTTGAAAAGAGAGAGAGAAGACACACAGAGGTTGTTAGCCTTGGCTCAAAGATTGAGTGGACCGCTCCCAAAGTGGATGCCCAGTGCCTGAACCTAAGGTTGGCAAGGCAGTACAGAACTCCCTGACATAATTAAACCAGATTCGTGGTCCTGACACAATGGCTGAGGTAATAAAAGCTCAAAAAAGCAAATAAAACCCAAATCAATTTTCACTAGTAATGAACCAAGACCAAATCTTGAAATCAATGAAGTGAGTTGCAATCAGCTTTGTTTAAAATAAAGTAGAACAGAAATAGGCATTTTTAAGTTGCCATAAATAATAAAGATTAGTAATACTTCAAAACAAAACACATGGCAATTCAACACAAGTTTTACTGAGTAATCATATGTAAAGTCCTGTCCCAAGAAGACTATGGTCCCCAAGAGTTAGCCAGCTAGAGGAGTAGGGAGAGGTTTCTCTCGATTGCCCCACCTGCCCCAACTTCTGACATCAACAGATAGGTCAGGAGCCCCATACTTGTTAGTTACAAATCTGCCTTCCCTCCACTGACTGACAGGTTTGGCGATTCTTAAGAATGACCATGGAATTCAGAAAAGTAATATAGTTATAACTCATAAAAAGATACAGATTGGAGAGAGAGAGATGGAAGAAGGAAAATTTATTCTGGGGGAAACAAATACTAAGTCTTCCTGTCCTCAGGGACACCTAACCCTCCTGTCACTGACTGACAATATGCTGAGAGTACTACTGCTAAGCCAGGAAGCTCAGCATAGCACTGATATTCAGAGTTCCTAGCTAAATGTGAAGGTAAGATGACTCAGGACCCAAATGAATCCCCCACAAAACACAAACTATGGGGCCTCCAGGTGTTAACAGATACTCCATTACTCCAAGAAAATACCAGGGACATCAAGGATGACTTTCTAAGAGCCTATCTGGACAAGAACCAAATTCCTTACTTCACCAAGAAAGACAAATGACACCTTAGCTCTGCAAGCAGACAAAGAGGCAGGCTTATACACTGAGAAGACACAAGACACAAGATGATGATTAATAATAATAATAAATTATAATATTAATAATAATATTATTATTAATGAATGAATGCTGAAAACCAAGTGCTGTAATGGTACGAGACTATTGAATCATAAAGATTCCACAAAGCTAAGTAAGATGCCAGGGAGCCTAAGCTTGAGCTGATGTTCACAGGATAAGAAGTTTAAATAGCACTGTGGGAGGACCTGAAGGTAGAACCGGTACTAGTCTAGACACAGAAGGCAGGGCCTGGGACATGGAGCCCTGATCCCATGCCAAGTGTGTACTTGGTGCATCCAGGGAGAACAACAACCTGAAGGTTCTGGCATTGTGGCTTACCAAACACATTTATTTTGTTGTGTTCCTATTACTTCTGAGCCAAGTACTATGTTAGGCCTGCAGACAGAAAGCTGTTTAAGATACAACTTCCTCTTACAAGGTGGGACGTTCTGAAGAGCTCATTGTGGAAGACAATGAGACTCTGGGAGGTTACGTGAAAAAGCCAATGGGAAATAGTCTAAGGTATGATTCCTGTCCTCACCCACGCTTAAACCACCCCCAGGCAACTCTGATAAGCAGGTTTAGATGGGGAAAACACAGATTTAATTAGATTATTTGACATAAAAACTTTCAGATTGAAGAGGCTAAGAGTTGGAAAATCTTGTCCCGCTTCCCATTTGTCAAATGAAAGTTAGCATGTATAGTTTCACAACTAAGCCTGATAAGAACTGTGACTGAATACAGCAGCTGTCCTAATGAAACAGATGCAAGCAGACCTGTAAGAGGCTAGTGAGGTTTGTCTCTGTCTCACGCTTTCCTCCTTGTGTGGGATGGTCTCTGGCACACAGGCTTTTAAGGGAGAAGAGGGATAATATTTCTAGGCTTCAGATTTCTTACAGGAAACTAGAGGAATTATAGGTTCTATGTCCTATCTTAGAGTTGTGCTTGGCTTAAGGGGCAAGAGGTGGGAAGGCATGGGCTAAGAGAGACTTTGTTTGAAGAGCACAGGAAGACAAAACACCATATTTGGGTGTATCACATAAGCCTCAACATTAAGAAAAAATTAAGCTCCAGGATAGCCAGGGCTACACAGAGAAACCCTGTCTTGAAAAACCAAAAAAAAAAAGAAAGAAAGAAAAAAAAAGAAAAGAAAAATTAAGCAATCAAGAAACTGTATGTGAGAGGTCAAAATCCCCTGGCCTCTGATGCTCTTAAACTAAGTACTTGGCAGCTGCTGGTGCTGCTGCTGCTGCTGCTTCTCTTCCTCTTCCTCCTCCTCTTCCTCCTCTTCTCCCGCCTCCTTCCTCCCTCTTTCTCTCTGTCTGTTTCTGTCTCTCTGTCTCTCTGTCTCTCTCTCTGTCTCTCTGTCTCTGTCTCTCTCTGTGTGTGTGTGTGTGTGTGTGTGTGTGTGTGTGTGTGGTGGGGGGCTGTGTGTGTTTAATATACTAGACCTGGTTGTGAAGGTTTTCCTTTCTACGTTCTAATTTCTGCTTGGTTTTTCTATGTATATGTGTGGGTGCAAGAATGCAAGCATGTAGGTGCATACAAAGAAGAGGGGACAATGTCGGGTAGTATTCCTCAGAAGTTGTCGACTTTGTTTTTTGAGAGAGGGTGTCTTACTAGTTTAGAGTAACCTTAGTAGGTAGGATAGGCTGGCTGGCCAGGAGGCTCAGGGACTCACCAACCTCTATCTACCTAGTGCGGGGATTATAAAAGTATGTTACCATGTACAATTTGTTGTTGTTTTGTTTTTCTTTTATTTAAACATAGGTTCTTGGAATAAAACCCAGGTTCCTCATGTTTACAAGGCAAAATCTTTACCAACTAAGAGCTCCCTAGCCCTGATTTTTTTTTTTTTCCGTAAAGATCACCATCAGCACTGTTTCACTAACCAAAAGTCTTTTGGCACATCACCATATATCCAGGCAAAATAGCCAGTAGTGGGGGTGGTCAGGTTAGGACAAGCATCACTCTTCTGGAAGTTCAAAAGTAACCAAAGTGTAATATCTTAGCATGTAAAAATAAAATGCAGTATGTCTGTAAAGAAAAATTACCATTAACAGTCTTGTTTCTTTTACAATGTAAAAACGTGGGCCATTTCATCATTTGAGCATATTCACTCATACCCTACCCCAGATAGCTGTATTATAAGTAAAGTATGTTAAGTATAGATTAAAAGTACCCTATCTCTACAGAGACTGCAAATCATGCAACTTACAAGATCAGTAGAAGAGAACTCTCAATGCTAGTAACTTGTCTCTAGCTTAGCAACTTATGTTATTAAAATTAATGTTATTAAAAGATACATAGCTGAGGTTAAACCTCTGACACCATCAAAAAATGAATAAATGAAAACATACATATATACATTAAGAGTGAGTACACTGGCCATGAGAAAAACACCAAGCCCTCAAGTTTTGGCTTCCACAGGTCCTGGAAACTTAAACATGGTATGGTTTCTCTTACAACCACTATGACTAGGGCTAAGATCACACCTGCCTTTGTTGGGTCCCATCTAGCTTCACAGAACAAAACTGTTCTCGATTCATCTTGCTAAAACAACTTCAATCTTAAACAGTTCAAAGAAAGGTTCTGAAGGAACAAAACTTTTGCATTTCAAACACAAGAGCTTTTACTGTACTCCAAAGGGGCTCCTGGTAGAATGTATCTGTACCATCCTCAAATTTTCCTGGACTAGCAACTGACTACAACACATCTTACTTCAAAGGCTATCCCTGCTTTTCCCAAGGCCTCCTGCAGCCTAATCTCCACACTGCAGATGGAACAAATTATCGCTCTCCCCACTTCTGCTCCAAACCTCCCATGGCTTAACTCACTGAGTCCTTATATAGCCTCCTATGATCTGTAGTCCAAATAGGGGCCCAGAAATGACCACTCCTGGTCTACCACATTCGCATACAGCCCAAAGGGTAACCACATTTTTTGGTGTTGGTCATTAAAAATAATGCAAATGCAGGAAACCTTGTAATACGTGAAACCTGCATCAAGTCCCAATGCTGGAGTCCAGGAATGAACTCTACTGAACAGAACCAAGCTATGGCTACACTAAGTTTTCACCACATGAAGTTTAAGGATTCACTCCAGCTCTTTACAGAGGATGCAGATCTCTGCCCTAAAGTATCTGTTGTATAAGAGGACCTAATTTTTCCCCGTGTATTTAGAGTGATACAAGTTTGGTAGCTACAGGCAAAGAAATCATGGCTGAGAAAGGCTGCCTGGCCTGCAAAACCATGATTTCAAGTTTTACCTGAAAACCTCATGCTCTGTCTTCTGAGTACAGACAGACAGGCCCCTGGCCACCTCCATGTCTCTGTTCACTGCTCACCTTCAGGTCAGTCCTGACTACAAACCACACTCTGCTCTCACTCTGCTTCGGCTCCTACTCAACATTTCACCCACTGAGTAAAGCCACTGGCATCCCTTGAGTGACGGTGACCAGTGAGCACCTGCTTTAGAACAGCTGGACTTACTTCATCTGCGGTGTTCATCACTACATGCACCTCCAGTGGCAAAAACAAAATACTGAATTACAGTGAAGTCAAACATATGCAAGCATGTACTTCCCTTTAAAAGTCATGTTGGTGCAATATAGCAGCACAGATAACTATAATAAGCAACACGAAATAAGGCCAAAGTTTTACTTTGCTCTTCATAGATGTTACCTAGTACAGATACCTTGCAAATATCACACACTACGTTGTACTAAAAGTGGAAAACTAAACGGAAAGAAGCTATTGCCCACAAGACAGATAACTCTTCCTAAGAACTGAACAAGCTGTCAAATAAAACCGCAATTTATGGAATAAAATATCTCTACAGGGGGATAAAAGGAAGTGACTAACAGTCTGGGGATGAAAATCCTTGCTTTCTTTTCAGTTTGACTTTATAAAATATAAGGCTTTTCAAGCAAAACCCAACATTAAGGTACCCAGTAAAGTTAACCATACCATCAAGGCAGTTTCTTAAGGGCAGTCCCCACAGGTGGGTGGGAAAGATAAAGTGAGGCAGACAGAAGTCTTGGCAGACTTCTAGCCTAAAGAGGAGTGCTACTTTGTAGGAAAGGCAAAGGACAAAGGACAAATAACTTAATTGTTGACAATGTAAACCTTGCCCCTCAGGGCAGAGGCAAAACCTCTGAAAAAAGAATCACATATTATGTAAAGGAGAATCAATGTTGAAATTCTGAGAATGAAAATTCTGTTAGAAGGTATTTGAAAGATTATTCATCTTATAAAAAAAATTTTTTTTTCATGTAGCAAAATCGAGCAATTGTCCCAGGGATTGAAAACCAAGGTTTCAGAGAAACCTAAAGAATAGAGACTGGCTGAGAACCACAGCAACTGTGACCCAAAGATGACATCAAACAAACCTGTTTGGGACACTGCTGTCAGTCTTCCTGTAACCTAGGCTCACCTTGGCACAATGAGGGAGGTAGAGAACTCCCGCTGTTCTAGAAGGGGCCAGCTTAGAGAGTCACACTATAGATATGAAGCCATCTAGGCCAGATAGCAGGTGAGAGGGTTCAGAGGAAGAAAAACAAGTTACAGGAAGGACACGAGCCTGAGGGAATGACAGGGATGATGACTTCTCTTCATTGTGACCTTGACTGATTAGAAACACAGCTCTCACGGCTCTGTGTGGGTGATGGCATATCCCGAGAGGATTTGATCATAAGGGCTCTGACCTAGTCAATGGTTTAATCCAATAGATTCACAATATGACGAAATTACTGGGAGGTAACAAAAAATACATGTGTGGCTAAGCATGAGAAAATAAATACATCACGATGCGTGCTCTTGATGGCAACGCTTGTCTTGCTCTCTACCTCCCTTTCTGTGATTCCTGTCCACATGGAGCAAACAGCCTCTGACTCATGCTCTGGCCACCCTGAAAGACCATGAGGCTTTGCCTCGCTACTACTCCAGAATCAATAATCATTCAAAAGGGGCCTGAACCCTCTGAAACTGAGTCAAAACAAATCTGTTCTCCCTAAAGTTGTTTTGGTTACATATTACTAGCCTAGAGATATGGAAGTAACTACCACAGCAGGTGATGGACGACTCTCGGACTTAAAAGAGGAGGAGCAAGTGAGAGGGGCCTACAGGCTTGGGAGAGGCAGGAGTAGGAAAAAGGTGTGTGGTGGAAGGGCACTTGGGAGGGTGACATGGGCTTGGGAAGGGCAGGAAGGGGACAGGGTAATCTGGGACAAAACTACATAGGTCTTAGGTTCGGAGGAGTACCAGGTGGGGGATAAGTACAAAAAAGCCAGGCGAATGAGAATTTTCTTAGGCACGGGACCAGCCAAGGCCTTCTGATCTGTTCCCTCCGCCCGGTACTCTTGTTCAGAAGCTTAACACGAAGAGCACTTCAGGGTCCCAAAGAAAAAGATCCTTAAGTCGGCGAGTCCTTACCGAGACACACGAACAGCACTGACTTGGACCCAACTTCTGCCATGTTTCGGTGCAGACCCTGGCGCCCAGAAACCGCGTCGGGACGGGGCGCATGCGCACTGCCCGGGTTCTGGCCGTGGACCTGCGCAGTCCGCCGTCCCACGTTCGCACGCCGCCAGAGGCGGGGCCAGAAGTCGCCTAGAGGGCTGGGCTGAGGAGTTGCTGTTGGCATACCGGTCCAGCGTTCCCTCTGAGCTCTGTCCCGGTAGCACGTCTACAGAGCGAGGGCGGGGTGAATGCGGGGCGACCCCCAGAGCTGGTTGGGTGGCACAGTGTCAAACTGGGCGGATTAGGACTGCCAGGGCTGCCAATGAGCTCAAGGAGAGAGGCTTGCAGACCCTCCTAGGGTGACTCCTCCGATCCGAGCTACTTGCCCCTCCGAGCGAAGTTACCCCGTGGGACCACCGACCCTAGGCCGAGCCACGGTACTTAGCTAAGGGGTTCCCGGTTAAGACAAGAGGGTGATTTACAAGGCTCCAAAGGAATGAGGCGGGTGGACGCAGTTGAGCTATGTTCTGAGCAAGGGTATAGGACCAGTGATCGCATTGGCAAAAACGGGGCATACACCTATTCCCTCACCTGGGTCAGGTGTGCGCCCGCTGGGCGGGTCCCGTCGGGGAGGCGGACCAAGGAGAGCGCCATCCTCTTCCTGGACTGGAGTGAGGAGCTCGGGCACGGAGCGGAGCGGCGGGCACCAGTGAGTAAGGGTCTGAGCGGCTGGGGCGTGTCGGTTCCGCGGCAACTCTTCCTCTTGTGAAAGGCGTTGTGAAAGGAGAGAAACAGTCAAGTCCCTGGGTTTGTCTGGGCGCCTCCACCAAGATCATACTGCACGGATCCTTTTTAGCAGATCCTCAGAACTCAAGATTAGTTTCTACACTCCTGATCATAAAGGTTTTGGTTGATTGTTAACCATGGTCGTTCCAGTAGAGTGCAGGAAAAAAAAAAAACAAAAAACTCCTCCTGCATTTTCAGTTTTGAAGACTGACTTTCGTTTTGTTATTTTTTTTCTAACATCTGATGTTTTACCATCTTCTGGTTTCAAATTGTTTTGAGAGTTGGCAACCTGTGTACTTGACACAGATGAGGGAGGTGCGGAGCTGGGGTTTGTGTAGGGCCTTTGTGAGCATGTGATCTCTGGGAAGGGCTATTTCCCTAGGGGAGGGCCTCACATGAGTTTGGGGCTTCCAGAGGAAGAGGTGTCAGGTCTTTGACACAGTGTCTTTGGTTCTGCAATACCTTACAAAGAGGAGTGATGTGGAGGGTGATTTGATTGTTGCATCACTGGGATATAGTGTCTGTTTGTTCCTTTTTACTGCTCTGAACAATAGGACTAGGTAACAATAGGAAGCAGGTTTCTCCCCTGGCAAAATGTGCCGTCTTCATTTTCAGCAAATGTTAACACTGCCCTGCCAAGGCAGACCAGGGAAGACTTGAAGGACCCACCTCCACCTGGAGGAATGCCCTGCCCTGGGGCAGAAGCCTTGCCCTGTTCTGTGTTTACCAAGTGAACAGGTTCTGTATTCCTGCTGGCCCAGGTACTTCCTTGAGATCTGAGGAATGTTTCGATTGCTAATGAGTTAGTAAACCTGTACACAGAGTTTAGAGAATAACAGAGCTGGGTTAAAGGTGCTGTTTTATTCTGCTCTGCGGCCTGTTATTGAAATACCATAGCAGCATCTGGTTGTTTGCAAATTGCTACGTTGGAGGTTAAAATTGACTAAGTGATGACATTCATCCTGTTTATTGCATCTTAACTAAGGAGAATTGGTTATTGGCTCGCTGTGTTCAATGTCTGTGAAATGAGTCAATACTACCTTTCTTCTTTTTTATCTTTCAAAAAAATCTTTAAAATTCTGCTTGTCTACTCTTTTTTTTTTAATTGATACATTGTGACGATGTGACTCATTTGCAAGTGGTGTTGTGAAATGACAAAACTCTTTACCATTTAAGGCTTAATTAAGCACATTCATTTTAAATTTTTCCCCATTTTTAACTGGCATACACAAAGCATGCATGCATCTGTGATCTTCTCCTAATCCAACATTTCCCTGAATCTCTCTGGGAAGCAGATACAAAGCAAAGATCTGTCTGCCTTTTGCTTCCAGTTCTTTATCTCCATCCAAAGCCATCGGGAGATGGTTGCAGGGGTGGGGGGGGGGCCAGTGGAGCCCACATGGATAACTTGCTTGTAAATTTTGTTTAAGGAGGTTAATGGTCTAGTTAGGAACATGGACTGTGACTTATGGATTTGAAAACTTGGTCTCCCTAAGACAAAGTCGTCAAAACTCTAGCTCCAGGAAGACTACACTGATCTAGAAACAAAGGTAGAAGGTATCAACAGCAGTGTTTAACATTGTACTTCTCAAGAAAGGCAGCATTTCAGAGCCTCCTGAGAGGACTAACCTTTTTGGTGGGGTGTGAGTGGTAAAGTTTTATCAACTCTTCTTAGAAACGGAATACAAGCTTAGTTGTGTTCTTATTTCTTTTATTTCTAATGGAATTTGTATCAAATTCACAACCCCTGTAAATTAAAATTTTAAGACATGAATTAATACAGAGTGAAAATTTAAAAAGCCGTTTCTATATGTGCTTTCCCATATGTGCCCTTTTTATATTTCTGTTGATGTTTGGTTTTGTTTGTTTAAACCTTTTAATGTCTTTGAGATATTGTTGGTGACATTAATTTATGATTTAGTACTCTAATAGGAAGGGGGGAGGCTTTGATCTTGATCCTAGGGAAGAAAAATCTCATTCATCTTACAATTCCAGGTTCCAATCCATTAGAGGAGAGAAGTCGCCTTGTTATATCACATCTGTAGTCAAGAGCACATGCATGAAATCTTGCTTCCTTGTTTCTCAGTCACTTTCTTCTCTCTTATTGTTCATGGGCCTCTCCCTGCGGAATGGTACCACCCATATTGACTAAGTCAAGACAGTTCTCTACAGACAAGCCCACATAACAACCTGATCTAGATAATTCCTCTTTAAAACCGATTACCAACTGATTCTAGGTTGTGTCAAGTTGAAAGTTAAAACTAACTAGTACATTAACCAAATTTGAAGAGTTTCTAGAGACCCCACAGAGTTTAGCAAGTTCAAGGCAGAAGTTAGTCCAATGCAAGTCTCCAAGGTGCAGGATCTCTGGAAGAACATCATTTCAAGTGGGAAACCGATAACAGGGAAACGTGATTGAAATTCCCATATAAGTGAATATGCTAAGCTGAAACCCTGGGGACACTTAGGGGGTTTTTGCCTGTCTTTCCTTTTGTGTGTCCACCAAAAAGTCAGATGATAAGTAGATGGATTTGGCTGCAGACAGGGATGTCCAAAGTGTTCTGGGACTTAAGAGACAGTGTAAACATCACCAGGACAGAAATGGAAAAGTGGAGAAGAAACCAGATTAGCTGAAGCTGAAGGCATAACATTTTGAGGGAAGAGTTTACTATCATTTGAAGAACATTTTGTGAAAGAAAAATAAGATCATGAACTTGAAGGAATAATAACCAAAATGCAGAAAGAAGCAAAGGGTCGTATGGACAGAGAGACAAGAGCTAAACCCTCAGTGACACATTTGGAAAAAAAAGTCAAATAAACAAATAGATCTGGAATTTGTGAACTAAAATGGGAAGAATAATCTTAAAATATATTATAAGAAGGGATAAGCCTTGATTTAAGAAAACACTTGATTTGAGAAAAGGGTTAGGTGAATCATTTTGAAAAAATATTCAAAATATGTATGCATGTGCATATATGCAAAAACATATTTATACTTGAAAGATATCCACAATATGTAAAGATTATTTACAAAACAAGACAATGCACATTTTTAAGTGGACAAAATGTTTTAATAGGAACCACAGAGGCAAGATCACCAACAGAATACAAGAGATGAAAAAGAGATCTCAGGCATTGAAGATACAATAGCAGGAATGGATACACCAGTCAAAAAAAGTGTTAAATCTTAAAAAAAAAAAAAACACCTGAAAAGAAATTCCAGGAAATCTGAGACACACATGGAAATTCCAAATATAAGAATAATAGGAATAGAGGAGGAGAAGAAATCCAAGGCAAAGGCACAGGAAATATTGTTAGCAAAATTATAGAAGAAAATTACCCTGACCTAAAGAAGGTCATGCCTATCAAGGTATAAGAAGCAAGCAGAACACTAAATAGATTGGTCCAGAAATAAAGTCCCCTCAGTATATAATAATCAAAACACTAAATGTACAGAATATAAAAAGAATATTACAAGCTACAAAGAAAAATGACAAAGTAACATATAAAGGCAGACCTATTAAAATTATACCTGACTTTGCAATGGAAACTCTAAACACCAGAAGGGCATGGACAGATGTGCTGTAGACTCTAAGAGATCTCAGCTGCCGGCCCAGACTAAACTAAAACCCCCTAAGTATCCCCAGGGTTTCAGCTTAGCATATTCACTTATATGGGAATTCCAATCACGTTTCCAGAATAGATGCTGAAACAGGATTCCTCTGCTGCATCTGCTATTAAGAAACACACCTTAATATCAAGGATAGGCATCACCTCAGGATAAAAGGTTGGAAAGAACCAAATTGCTAAGAAGTAAGCTGGTGTAGATATTTTAATATCTGATACAATAGAATTCAAACCAAAACTAATCAAAAGAGATAGGAGAGAATGCCACATACCCATCAAAGGAAAAACATCTACCAAAATGACATTTCATTCCTTACCATCTCTGCCCAAACACAATGACACCCACTCTTGTGAAAAACATTAGTATACCTTAAAACTATATATTGACTCTCACACACTGATAGTGGAAGACTTCAATTTTGCCAATGGATGGGTTGTCCTGACAAAGATTAGACAAAAGTACTGGAGCTAACAAACTTCATAAACAAATGGACCTAACAGATATTTACAGAACATTTCACACAACCACAAAAGAAAATAAATACCTTCTCAGCACCTCATCAAACTCTCCCCAAAACTGACCATATTCTCAGATACAAAGAAAGTCCCAATGGACACAAGAAAATTTAAATAACATCCTGAATTCTATCAGACCATCGCAGAAACAAAAGAAGTTTACAAACTCATGGAAACTGAACAGCTCACTACTGACTGAAAAGTGGGTCAAGACAGAAATGAAAGATTTTCTAGAACTGAGTGAAAATGAATATACAATATACCTAAATTCATGAAAAACAAGGCTGTTTTAAGAAGAAAGTTCATGGCACTAAGTGCCTACATAAAATAATAGTAATCTCATACTAGCAACTTAACGGAACACCTAAAAGCTCTAGAACAAAAAGAAGAAAGCACACCCAAAGGGAGTAGACAGCAAGAAATCATCAAATTCAGAGTGAAATCAATAAAATTGAAACAAAGAGGACAATACAAAGAATCAAGGAAGTGAAGAGTCTGTTCTTTGAGGAAATCAATAAGATTGCAAACCCTTATTTAAATTAACTAAACGGTGGTGAACCAATATCCAAATTAACAAAATTAGAAATGAAAAATGAGACATAACAGGCACTGAGGAAATTCAGAATATCATAAGGGTATACTTTAAAAAAAAATCAACCTGTATTCCACTGAATTACAAAACCTAAAAGAAATTAATATAATTTTTGATATATACCACTTACCAAAGTTAAATCATGATCAGATAAGCAATTTAAACAAACCTATAACCCATAGTGATATTAATACAAGTAGTCATTAAAGGTCTCCTAACAAACCAAACAAACAAAAACCCTCCTTTTAGTACAGAATTCTACCAGACATTCAAAGAATTAATCCCAATATTCCTCAAATTATTCTACAAAATAGAAATAGAAGGAACATTGGCCAATTTATCTTATGAGTCCACAGTTACCCAAACCATATAAAGAAAGAGAATTACAGACCAATTTTCCATATAAAATAGGTGTAAAAATTCACAGTAAAATATTTGTGAAACAAATCCAAAAATACATCAAAACAACCACAATTAAGTAGGCTTCATCCCAGAGGTGCAGGGATGGTTCAACATGTATAAATTGATCAATTAATTGACCATTTCAAATGTAATTTCACAAACTAAAGGACGAAACCACATGATCTCATTAGGTGCAGAAAAGGGCTTTGGTAAATCCAACACCCTTCGATGATAAAAGTCCTGGAGAGATTTAGGGATACAAGGAACATACCTCAACATAATAAAAGGAGTTTACAGTAATCCCATAGCCAACATCAACTGAATTGGAGAGAAATGCAGGTACAAGACAAGATTTCCCACTCTATATACCTATCTGTGTAGTATTTCAGGTCTTAGCTAGAACAATAAGAGAACTGATGGAGATCAAGGGGATACAGATTGGAAAGGAAGAAGTCAAAGTATCTTTATTTACCAGAACATTCCTACAGTTGATAAACACTTTCAGCAAAGTAGCTGGATAGCAAATTAACTCACAAAAATCAACTCTCCTATATTACAAATGACAATCAGACAATCAGAGAAAGAAATCAGTAAAGCAACACCTTTCACAATAGCCCCAAATAATATAAAATATTGTGGGTTGACGGTAACAAAGCAAGTGAAAGACTTGAATGATAAAAACTTCAAGTCTTTGAAGAAATAAATTGAAGATGATATTAGAAGATGGAAAGATCTCCTATCCTCATGGTATTAAGAAGCCGGAAATACACACAGGAAAAAAAAAGACAGCATCTTATACAAAGTATGAAGTGGATGTCTAAATATAGAAGAATGCAAACAGATCTATACTTATGCTGCACAAAGCTCAACTCCAAATGGATTTAAGACTTCAACAAAAAACCAGATACACTGTACCTAATAGAAGAGAAAATGGGAAATAGCCTTTATCTCATTGGCACAGGAAGTGACTTTCTGAACGGAATGCCCTTAACTGCAGGCCCTAATATCAACAATTAGTAAATGGAACCTCATGAAACTGAGACACTTTCATACAGCAAAGAACACTGTCATTTGCATAAAGTGGCAGCCTACAGATTTGGATTTTTTTTTTAACCAAACTCTACATCCTATAGAGGACTAATAGCCAAAATGCATAAAGAACTCAAAAACTAAATATCAAGAAAACAAATAACCCAATTTTAAAAATGTAGTACAGATCTAAACAGAATTCTCATTAGAGAAAACTCAAATGGATGAGAAACACTTAATGAAATAAGTGTTCAATATTCTTAGCCATCAGAAAAATGTAAATCAAAACTACTTTGAGATTTCATCTTTAACCCACCAGAATAGCTAAGATCAATAAAAACAAATGACAGCTCATGCTGGTGACTGTGTGGAGTAAGAGGAACACTCACTCACTGCTGGTGGCAGTACAAACTTGTATAGCCACTATGACATCATGAAATTAGCAGCAGAATTGATGGAACTAGAAAAAGATCATGTGATATATCCCAAACTCAGAAAGACAAATATAGTCTCTCATCTGTAGATGTTAGCTATTATATTAAAGATAAGCAAGCTACAATCTGTAGAAGCACAAAGGGTAGGTATAGAATAAGGATCTTGAGGTTATAAATAGTTATCATTAGAAACAGAGATTAAAAAAAATACATAGTTATGGATGGAGACAGGGCTAGAACAGGAAGATCAGGTAGGGATGGAGAGGGGAGAGGGAGTAATCAGGGAGTATGAGGAGAGACAGCTAAAATTAAGAGCCACGTGAGGGGTAGTATGGAAACCTAATACAGTAGATGCTTCCTAAAATATACACCTATATGAAGGTGATCTAAATGCAGTGTACTAATACTGGGGGAAACAGAATCACATCTGGCCATCTCTTGTCACCAAAGGAAGTTTCCAGTACTAAGATTCAGTTACCATCTAATTGAGTTGTTAGCCAAAGAAGTGTCATGGGAATCCCAAACTGTTGCCAAGATAATAGTTTGCTCTCCACAAACTGATAGCAAGGTCTCATCGATTGAAGACAACACTTGTACAATTCGTTGAACATGGACTAGCTGAGCTGGTGCCTACATAGAGCTTTTTCTCCTGTGTTCTAGCGTCTTTGGTACAGGAAGGCATTCTGTACTCCCAAAATGAAGCAAGCACCAAGCCATCCACAGACTCTCATCTACAGTGGTGCCCTGCCTTCAAGGTATGCTAGGGCAGTGGTGGCATAAAGCCTGTGGGGATGACCAAACAATATCTGATTTGACTTAAGGCCCACTCCATGAGACAGAACCTGACCCTGCCTTTGTGACCAAGAACCAGAAACTAGAAAGTAGAAATGACATTCTGCTATACTCAAAGATCAGTGCCTTGCTCAACCATCATCAGAGAAAATTCCTCCTGCAGCATGCGGGAACAAATGTAGAGATCTACAGACAAACATTATGCAGACACTGAAAGTCCTTGGAACACTCAGTCCTAAATGGGCTGTCTCCATTAAACCACTGTCCTCAGGGATTAGCGAAACCCAAGGAAGAGGAAGTGGCAAGATGTTTAGAGCTGGAGTGGATGATGCACACCTAGAAAATGAGGCCCTTTAAATCAACATGCTCAAAGCATGTGTGAACTCACAGAGACTGAGACAGCATGCATAGGACCTGCATGGCTCTGCACTGGGTCCTCTGCGTATATATTACAGCTTCCGGTTTAGTGATTTATGGGATTCCTGAACATATGATCGAATGGATCTCTGATTCTTGTGTCTCCTCTTGGGCTCTTTTCCTTCTGTTTGTCTTTTCCAACTCCAATGTGATGATTTTATCTTATATTTTATTTTGTTATACTTTTTTTATTTTTGACTAGAAACCTGTTTTGTTTTGTTTTGTTTTGTTTTGTTTTGTTTTGTTTTTCTGAGAGACAGAAAGGGGTAGATCTGGATGGGAGAGAAGTGAGGAGGTACTGGGCGGGGAAGGGTGAGGGGAACTTTAATCAGGATATATTATATGGGTAAAGACTCCATTTTCAATTAAAAGGGGAGGGAGAAATAAGCAAAGTTTGCAACTTTGTCAGGAATGTGAGAAGTCTACATTGAAATGCCTCTCGAGTAACAATTAACAGACTGTCTATACCATGCACTTGTGGAGTCACTAACTATGTCAGAAATTTCTGGTAGAAGAATAAAATACCACTTCACATTGCTCTTGGGAAACATATAATTAACCATACACTTATTATTATGAACTAGCAGTTTCTATTATTGATGTTTATCAAAAAGAAATAAAACATGTGTGAATAAGCAACCATGATGGAAGTATTTATAGCAGTTTAGTTTGGAATAGCTCCAAACTGTAAACAGCCTAACTGTTTAAAAAAAATCGATGGAAAACTAAATTGTGGTGTTCCTACATATAAGGAGAGAAAATAGACTTCCTGTCTCTGCCTGACATAAATGACTCCTGCTTATTTTATGGTGTATCAAATAAGGTAGTTAGAAAAGGTAAAACTCGTTTTTCCTCTCACTTACATGAAATTCAAACAGATAAAACTGATTCGATATAGAATAACAAATCTTATTGATTCTTCAGATGAGATAGGCAAACTAGAATTGTTTAAAGGAAATGGGATTATTGTACAAACGGCATCAGCTAGACAGATAAATTTGAGAACCAGTATTTAAATATTCTGTGGTAAACTTAAGTTTAAACATGCACATTACCATACATACTGTGTGGATACCAGTTTAGAAAGAATACCATACACAACATACACATTTCATTTTGTGTTTTACAAACTAGAAATGCACCCCTCTCCCCAAAAGTGCCATTGATGGACTTTCCCATAACTTTATTCTTACTAATGATCTTGTGTTGAGCCACAAAGAGCCAAACTGTTATCTTCTAAGAAAAACAAAAAAGACTCTGCCACGACTCTATTTCAGTTTCTACTTCTAAAATAAATTACATATTTCAAGCATACAGCTGCCAATGTGCATCTGCACTGTGTTCTTAGACAGCTCTAGACTTTGCTAAATAAAAGGTTTCCCCCATCCTACTTGGTCACTCCCACTGTCACTTTACCAGGAGAAATGGTGACATGGATGTTATCATAAGTTTCCATCTAAAACACTTGTCCACAGTCAGATGAGGACCACAGCTGCTGAACTCACCTGGACTTACGTTTGCTCTTCCCAAGACAAGAGAATGGTCCCCCTTCTCCAACATGCTGTGAAGTTCAAGAGTTGCATATATTCTGTCATAACAACGAAACACTTTTATACTGGGAATGTAAAATGTTATGTAAGAGCCAGCATATATTACTGGGCCTATATTAACTCAGTTTCTGAGCATCCCAGAATTTTACTTGTGCCATTCGCAAAATTTCTAAGGAGAAAAGCCAGCTGTATCAAATATTATATCTATTAAAAGCGATTATAAAGTATATTTTTGTTAATCCTCAAAATCATTTTTTATTGATACTGAAGTAATTTAATTATGGGGAGAAGATACTTAATGAGGGAGAAGGCCAGCTTTTGCCTAGGATCCCAAGGTTCCATGTTTTCATAGTTCCTGAGAGTTTGAGTATTTAGTGTTAGCTGTCTGCAAGATTTCACAGCATAAGGACACAGACATGAGATGCCAGTGAGAACCAGAAGCCATTCCCTTTGGTAGCGCTTGACTTGAAATGCTTAATTGTGTGAGAGAAAAGTGAACTGAAATATATTCTGAAACTAGATTCTTTTTCCCCACTGCAGTATGTCTTTTACTCTTTCAGTGAATAACCCAATACCTTCTAATCTGAAATCAGAAGCAAAGAAGGCTGCCAAAATATTAAGAGAATTCACAGAAATAACTTCTAGAAATGGACCTGATAAGATCATTCCTGGTAGGTAAATTTCTGCATATGTTTGTTTTCTGTGCTGCTTCCTGCATTGCTTAGTGTTTCTGCATCGGTGCCCTATGGAGACTAGTAAGCACTTAGACTACCCTAGTCTCAGACCTCAAAGGGGCAACACTTGGCAGGCAGTCCTCCAGCCAATCAGCAGAGGAGTCTCCCTTCACTTTGCTTTCACTTAGAAATAGCAGCCTAACCCCTTGAGTCCCTGCTCCATTTAGCTTTTTAAATTCTGTTCTTTTTAAATCAATTTTGAGGGAATTGTCAAACAGATTTTTCAAAACTTCCTAGCTAATCTCACAGATAAATTTTTATGATGTAAGCTTTCTCAAGCACTTCATGGTATTTCTAAAAAAAATAAAATAAGGAAATTGTATTTACAAGTAACGTATTTCATGTAAGCAAAAGGTACCAAAGAGAATTTGGTAGCATAATTCTGATGAACGCCATACCTGGCTTTTCTGTTCTTCTAAATGACACTATTATTTTACACCCAAAGCTTTTGTCAACAATACCAAATCCAGTAGTGATGTCTAACAAGCACTGACGCTGTGACATTAGTCCTGTGTTCACAACTGACATAGTTAGTGACTCCACAAGTGCATGGTATAGACAGTCTGTTAGTTGTTACTCGAAATACAAATCAACTAGTTTTATAAATAGGATAAAATGGTTGTTCAAACAGATTGAGTTTTGAAAAACCTTTTGAAATGGCAAATCACTTAATTTTGTTGTCAAATCTAAATTTTCTTAGTAATAAATAATGTGTTCAGCTGTGTATCTTTAAAATCAAAGCTCTGTCACAAGCTGTCTTTTAATCATTGCTGTTTTGTTTGTTTGCAGCCCATGTGATTGCAAAAGCAAAAGGTCTTGCAGTTTTGTCTGTGATTAAAGCTGGGTTTCTGGTCACAGCCAGGGGAGGCAGCGGGATTGTCCTGGCTCGTCTTCCAGATGGAAGTAAGTTGATACTTGTGGAGACCTTACATCTTCTGTGTTCTGCATCTGTCTTGGTCTCATAGGGATCGTGACCAGTGAAAACACTCTGCGTGCTTCTTCTAAAACATGTAGTGTGTGTCAGGAAAAGCAGGAAAGCTGGTCTTAGATTATTACTAGGTTATTACTCAAGGTGTGTCTGACCGTTGTATTATATTTTGTAGGCCTTCCACAGAGAACACTTTCTTGAACATACTACCCACTTTTATTAAATATGGGAAAGCAAGTTTCTTTTGTGTATGTCATCTGTAAGCGCCTTGGTTTCTCTATAAGACATGTGAAGAACTCCTACTTCCTCCCAGCAGAATCACAGTGAAAGCACTGTAACATTTTGTTTGGGCTAAAACCTATAATTTGGTTTTTCTGAGACAAATTCAAAATGCATTTGTTATGCATCTTAAGAGCCTTATACCAGTATTTATAACATAGTCACATGTCAGAACCAACTGAAGTGCTTCTTCAGTTTGACCTGTGTTGTGTTTCATGTAAGGAGACGGCTTATTCTGTCAATAACTAGTTTAACAGTATCATTGACACTTTCAGGTCACAAGCACAGGTGTTGATAAACACGTCCTTTATCCCTAGGTTGGAGTCACCGTTTCCTGTAGGTGTCCCCAGACCCAGCAGGGTTTCCTCCCACAGTTGTGGATCTGCTTTTTATAGTTCAGGGTTTCCTTTGGTATTGGGGTACAGCATAACTCCAGTGCTGTATTCACCAGGCACTCTCCTTTTATAGGCCCTTTAGTAAAAAACTCTTGCCATGTCATCATTTCGGTTAATTTCAATCAATTTAGTTAAAACCCTAAATCTTTAAAGTTAGAAAATATGAAGTTCTTTCTATGAATTATTGCCCAAATACTCGAGGGCAGAGGTCTCAGCAGTGACACCAAACACAGTGGAGGGCTGGGCTCTGCCAGAGCCTCTACAGATCCATGCTATCCACTGACAGACACTTGTTGCTTAAACATAAGAGTCTGTCTCTATGAACCTCCCTGTCCCTGTTCTCCACCACGCTGCATTTTTCTATTGTTTCCAAAGGCTGAGTTTCTTTCCCCTATCTTCCAAAAAAAAAAAAAAAAAAAAAGCAGCTATCTACCTGCTGAAAGTAACAGAAAGGCTGCCCAAATAAGGCAAGGCAATTTTCTGATCCCAGAGAACAGGCCTGTAAGGTAGGCATTGCCAAACACAGGGATGAAAAGCAGCTTTGGAATTATTAGGCACTGATTCCTGTGATTCAAGCTTTTCCAAGGCCGGCAGGTTAATTCTAGATGTATTCACCAGTAATACTTGTCTAGGATGAGTCCCCAGCAAAGGGAGGTCAGCGTAGAAGTGTCATTTAGAGATATTCACTCTCAATACCAAACTAAAAATAGTTTTCTTTATTTGTTTCTATACAGAAAAAATAAATACACATCAGTTTTAAAACTCCCAATAAAATTACTGTGTTTAGATTACAAATATAAAGGAAACCTCTTTTGCACAAGAAGTGCCAAAACAATGTATGACAGCAGCAATCTAGAATTATTCTGCCCCCCACCTGACTCCCAGGAGTCGCTGAAACACTCTTGAATCTTGGTCACTTATGTCTGACACCATTGTGACCCAGACATAGATGGTTAATTTTTAAAAATATCAATAGTAAGATTCTTACTATTGTGTATGTTAAGTGGATAATGCAATCGTAGTTTAGGTGTGTGTGAGCTATTAGGGAAAGAAAGCATGAATTATATGAGTTTGTGAGTATGATACTCTTGGTGAATACTTAGTATCTTTTGAAAAACATTTAACTTTGGAAAGATTTTAAGGTATAAGATTCATGAATCTTTTAAAAAAATAAGTATCTTTTACTTAATATTCATATGACACTTTTTATATATTCAAATGTTCTTATTTTCTGTCAGAATGGTCTGCACCTTCAGCCATTGGGATAGCTGGGCTTGGTGGAGGATTTGAAATAGGAATAGAGGTAAGTGGGCTGTCTACGCCATTGTCACAATCCCTAAAGGTAGCCCGGGCTCAGCATGGTGGGACAGGCTTCTTAGTGCCCTTATTTTGCTTCTTACACTGGTCAGATCATTCCCCTTTGGCTTCCTTTCTTCTCTTTTCCCCTCCTCTCCTCTTCCCTCTTTCCTCCCCTTGCTGTGAACTCGTCTGTCTTTCTCCCTCTGTATTAACTGTTGTATGTATCCAAGACGACATAAACACAGAGCATTTCAGTTCTGCTTCTCCAGGTCTCGTCAGCATTGTATACAGTAGAATCCACTTCGTAACCTTGGAGGTGCCACTCCCGACAGCCGTTGCTCTGCTGCCTTCTACTGGTAGTTCCTTTCCGCAAATAAGCTTACACAGACGTCCAGCTCTGATGTCCCCAGCCCTCCTCTCTTGACCCCATCTCCTATTTCCGGTCTCTGTCTGTTCTGTCCACAACTCCCAGTCCTCACTTTACATCCTAACGTTCCTGTAGTCCCTATGCCCTCTCATTGCCCCAACCCCATGTGAGCCTGCTTTCAGCATCAGGTCACGTGGCATTTATTTTGAACATGTTGAGAGATTAAGTAGTAATAGCTTAAATTTCAAAAAAACTAGAGAACAAAAAAGAGAACTCGAAGATCATTCTTTAGAAATTGTAGGTTTTTTTCCAGCTTAATAGCCTTGAAAAAGAAGTATAGTGAAACATGAAGACATTAGACAAACATCTTATTAAGTGCTATTCTTTATTTTCAAAATAACATGGGTTACTGGGTGAACTACATTATGGGGGAGGATGGCACTGGCTCAAATTCTAGCCAGAGCACCCGTCTGCTATGTGATGTTGAAAGCCACTCTCTTCATCTACAACATAGAGATGAAAATCTTCCCTTAGCTTATATTACTGACCAAATAGACCGACATGCAGAAAAAGCTCTTAGAATGATATAAGCTATGATTTTTTTTTAATTTTACCATTTACAAAGTTTGACTCACAAAGCTTATATTCATGGTGGTATAAACTTAGTTCTGAAATTTATTTCATTAACATGCAAGGGAGATAATTATTAAATGTGGTTTTGGATTATTATCTAGAGTTACGTATTGCATCTTAAGTACTGTCTTTAGTATTTTTAGTGCTTCTTTTAAAGTCTTTTTTAAACAAATGCCTTAAAAAATAGATATAAATGATTAACAGTTCCCAGAAATTCCATGCACAGTAAAGAAATGCCTGTTCCTATTGCTGTGGGTAGGAAATTCCTGGGGTTAGCTTTCTCAAAAGAAGGAGCATTGAAGTCCAGCATCAAAGTCATGCATTCCCAGGTGAACTGGATTCAGATACAACACCATTCAGCCAGCAGGCTTAAGGACCGAGTTACTCTATTTAGTCTCCTCATATGTGAGTTTGGGAGATGCTCAGTGTACAGTAATTGTCATTTTCTTCTCCAGTGCTTCCCCAGAATCCATGTACAATATATTCAGATCTGCTGTGTCTGGGCTTCGAACTTTTATGCATGTGTCCCCATCTTTATTAATATAATTTATTTTATTTTCAGAGATACAGCCTCAAACTTGTATCTTTTGTATCTTTTTTTTTTGGTTGTCTCCCTTATCCTGAGAAAGTACGTTTATATCTCAGTTAGAGCTTTAGAGATACCAGTGACTTTGAATGGGTGAACATTATTTGTAAAAAAAAGACCAAATAAGGTAAAACTACTCAGCAAGCTAAACATCTGCTGTTGTAGATTTAGATGACAAGTCATATTTTCCTTCTGAGTCCTAAAAACATCCAGCCATCTTAACCTTTACATATAAATACCCTTGATTAGACAATAAAAAATTAAATACTAGGAGCCATAACAATAACACACAAATTTACTATTTGCTTTTTTAAGAATTTTTTTTCCTCGGGGGAGGTAAGTTAAGTGGTAGATATCTATTCTCGTTGGAATCTTCACCTAGTGCGTATAACAGCTTCCCCGTAGCTGCATAGTGGGCCATCCCCAACACTGCCTCTTATTCTTAGTTTTCCAAACCTGTACATCCTAGTTTCCTTAAAAACCCTGAGGCCTTATGGAATTAGGGCCTGATTGTCAACAACTACTGAGAGGAGTGACTGGATACCAATGTGAGGATCCAAGGACCTTATCTCCTCCTTTCCTGAAGGAATATGAATTTCTTAAGAAGCCAGCTGTGATTATTTCTAGCAGGTGGTTATTCAGCTCAAAAGATATTGCATAACATCATATTGCTAAAAAAGAAAATGTTGGATCTAAATTATACACATGGAGTAATGTAATAAATTGATATTGCCTGTGTGCATACTTACAAACCATTAGGCCTTATACGTTTCCAAATAAACCTTGGAGAAAAGGCAAGATAGTTTTTATGATTTGTACAGCATGCATGGTAAATTGATGTTCATAGCATCCAAGAGAATTTAGCTGACTATGATGCTAGAGGTTTGTTTGACAGATTTTAGACAGAGCCCTTTTATCCTTCCCGTGTATGAGCATCCCATTATAATAGTAACCACAATTGCAAATACTCAATCTCTTAGGTGTTCCTAAGCACACAGTGCCTTTTTCTTAGGCTGTTCTGTTGTCTTCTCTGTCACAGAGTTGATGGGCCAACTGACCCAGAACAGAGACTTTGTAGGAAATTTTAATATAAACATGCTTGGATCTGAATTGGGCGAGTCAAATCCTATCTCCAGAGGCAACTTTTCAGTGAGCTAAAACAGCATATGAGAGTGTTTCAGTATTATCCCTAACCAAAAGACACTTATTCCCTCCAAGCCTGAAGCTAGTGATCTGCATATCCATAAGGAGCTGCATTTGTCTGCAGCTGGGGACAGCCAGCCAGAAACCTTTGGATGTATCTTTCTTCCTACAAAGACATCAAGTAACAGGATAATAGAATGATTCTATGAGGCATGGAGATCTTGCTTCCTTTGCCAGTAAAACCTCTCATCTGTTTTTCCCTTTGGCCCTTTTAAAACTTACAGTATCTGTTAAAACATTAAATATAAAACACAGGCATCTAAAGGAATTTAACAAAGTTGGGTTTTCTTCCTTAGTTTGATGTGTCTTTATAATTAAAAAGTAGGAACAGTGGCAAGATCATCCATGTTGGGTGGGGCAAAAACACACAGGGGCAGGGCAAAGGAGTTCCAGGTAAGAAAAGTATCTTATCTCAGAAAAAAAAAAAGTCTTAGAAATGCCCAGAGAAATAGCAGGCATTAGGACCCAGCATAGCTTTTATCTCTAGTCTCCAGTCCAGCCCTGAGGCTAAGAGACTTTGTGTGGCCACTCTGAGGTCAACCCCCGACTTCACCAGCTGTCAAGTCTTCCTGGGGTCTGCTGGGGTGGGAGCAGGGGCTAAAGAAGAAAGAAGGCTTTCTGCTCCTCCTCACACTGTAGCTCCTGTTGTGATGACTAAGGCTAGAGTCACTGTGCTCCTGCCCTGCACCAAAGTCTATCCTCCACAAACCTGGACTTTATTGTACCAAATCTTGCCAGCAAGACTGTATGTTCCTGCTCACAGCAAGCCAGAGGAGCCCTTTCTTTCCCTTTTTTAGAGATACTTGAACTATATTTTCTTCTGAGTAAGATTCAAAACTATTTCTGTATGTAAAAACTGTCCCTGATCTTAATTGGACCTTTTGTGCCAAGGAAAGAGATCTGTGAGCAGTCCCTCCTTCACCCCCTTCCCCCACCAAAGCACAGGTGTAGGACTGGCTTCAGTAGTGACACAAGTTTTCATCTAATTTATCTTGTTATATTCAGCTGAGCAGGCAGGCTTATGTCCTGAACACTGTAGACAAATAAAGAGTTCTGTGGGTAAAACAAACAAACAAACAAAACCTGTACCAGGCAGCACATTCTTCCACACATTTATTCAAAGATGACAACATTCACTCCAATTGTTCTCTTAATGGCCAATCTGACTTCTGAGAAGTGCAGCTTTGAAAGCCAGTAGTATAAGAATTTAATAATGACAGGATACATCTTAAATACACTTAAAAGCTTCTTTATAGGAAAATAACAGTAAAGTCCAAAGCACTAAAAACAACACTGCTTCCAGGCTTTCCTAGAATAATTTAACTGACAGAGTTCACAACAGACACTGAATTTCTGTCACTGGAATTTGGTAAGGATTGGAGCACCAACCAACTCAGCCTTTTTACAGAGAGCCTTTGACAGAGATGAGAGTTTAGTCTTTAAGCCTCCAAGGACAGAGCTGAGTGAGGACTGGAAGATGTCGGGAGGCCATCCCTAAATCTGGTTTGTATGGTGAGACTAGCCACTGCCTCAGAGTTAGGTGTGTGAGCCCCCGTAACAAGATCAGCAGGGAAGTTGCATAGCACCCAGGCAGAGTCAACAGGGGTTGGGAGAATGGAGAGAAGACAAGTCTGGCCTCTGGAGTATGAGTAAGGAAGGGTTGTGTGACAAAACTTTTCCTAGGGAAATGCAATACTCATCTACTCACTGCAGATAGGGAACCCACAACAGACCAAAGTGCCAACAGAATGAACCGATAGGTTTTATTGGGCTGACTTATAGTAATATGGGATGGGTGAGAGGTCGTTATAGGAGCAGAAATGACTCAAAAAAAAGACAGCTGCACCAATAAAGGCTGACTCAGTTCCAGGCGGTTCTTCTAGTTTCTGCTGCTTCTAGGCAGCTGATCTTGGAGTCATCTTTGCATTATTAATCACATCTGATAAGAATAACGTGACTACCACAATATTTGAGCTAAATTAGAAACAAACTGGTTAGGAAGATAGACACTGGCTAGGACGACCTCCAGGATTCCCAGAGAATGCCACTGAATTACATTAGACAGAGGCTTATAAAGGCAAAGCCCACAAGTTTATATACTTTCTGCCTTTATCCAGTCAGGGATCCTCTGCTTCTGTCCATTGGTTGGGTGTAAGCATCTTCATCTGACTCTTTGAGCTGCTTAATGGGCCTCTCAGAGGGCAGCCTTGCTAGGGTCCTCTCTGTAAGCACACCATAGCAACAGTAATAGTGTCAGGCCTTTAAGCCTCCCCTTGAGCTGAATCCCAAGTTGGGCTGGTCATTAGACTGCTTTTCCCTCAGTCTCTTCTCCATCTTTGTCCCTGCAGTTCTTTTAGACAGAAACAATTCTGGGTCAGAGTTTTTGACTGGAATGACAACCCCATCCCTCCACTTGATGCCCTGTCTTTCTACTGGAAGTAGATTCCACAAGTTCACTCTTCCCACTGATGGGCATTTTGTCTAAGATCCCTTTGAGTCCTCTCACCTCCCAGGTCTCTGGTACTTTCTGATGGTTCTCCCACCTCCCACCTTCCAAGGTTGCATATTTCCATTCATTCTGCTGGCCATCAAGGCTTTTCTCCTGTCCCCTGCCCCCCATACATGGTCATGTTCCCCTTTTCCCCTTTTCCCCTTTCCCTCCCCTCTTCCACCCAGGTCTCTCACTCCCTCTGCCTCCAGTGATTGCTTTCTCTTTCCTCCCAAGTGAGATTGAAGCATCCTCACTTCGGCCCTTCTAATTGTTAACCTTCTTGAGTTCTGTAGATTGTATCCTGGGTATTCTGTACTCTTTTTTGGCTAATATCCATTTATAAGTGAGTACATGCCATGCATGTCCTTTTGGGTCTGAGTTACCTCACTCAGGATGATATTTTCTAGTTCCATGCATTTGCCTGAAAAACTCATGATATCCTTGTTCATAATCACTGAATAGTATTCCATTGTATAAATGAACCACATTTTCTCTATCCATTCTTCTGTTATGGGACATCTGGGTTATTTCCAGTTTCTGACTATGACAGATAAGGCCACTATGAACATAGTAGAGCACATGCCCCAGTGATATGATGGGAATCTTTTGGGTATATGCCCAAGAGTAGTATAGCTGGGTCTTCAAGTAGGTCTATTTCCAATTTTCTAAGGAACCTCCAGATTGACTTCCAGAGTGGTTGTACCAGTTTGCAATCCCACCAGCAATGGAGGAGTAAAACATTCACACTTTTATCAGATTCTCCAGTGCTGTCTTACACTGTCTCAGTGTTGCTCCACTGCCCAGCCTTCATCAGCAAGACTTCAGCTTTTCATTTTCAGCTATAGAAACCTTTTTGGCTGTTATCTTTTTCACTAGTAGCATCACAAAAAGAACACAGGATCATCTTACTCTTACTTCAGAGAAACCAAATACAGAGCAGATAGAAAATTAGAAGACTGGCTCTTCCTACATGACCTCTCAGAGTTTGTTTTCCTTACTTAACTGTCCTGAGTGGTTGTAAGTGTAGGGTAAAAAGTCTGAGCTTATGTCCAAGTTTGAAAGCCCACCAAACCCCACCAATTCCTAAGCTCAAAAACCTACCAATCCCTGACCAAAAAATCCCACCACCCCTACCCTTCGCCCTAGAAACCCCTCCCCCAAGAAACCCTGTGTCCTGCTCTGTTCCCATGACTTCTCACCGTAGCAGAGGCAACCACTTCTTGTGTGTTTCCCAGTAAATCTCTTGTGTGATATTCGTTGTGTAGTGTGAGTTTTTGGTGTCCCTTGGCTCCAGACTGCCAGAATACTTTTCTTCTTAGAGCTGCAACACTGCTATTGGAAACCTTTTTCCCCTCCAAGCTTACACTACACAGTCTACACAGTACAAAGCAGTTAGTGCAGCATTTCTGTCGAGAAATTTACATCTTTTGAATGTGAATATACCAAACAATACAAGGTTGTTTCGTTACATCCAGGTTCCTATGAGATGTGGTTATATAATCACAGCATGAAGTGCTTAAATAGGCAGAAGGAATGCTATCAGGTGTGGTAGAACAGGCCTGTAATCCTAGCATTCAGAAGACCAAAACAGGAAGATTGTAAATCCAAAGCCAGCATTGGCTGTAGAGTGAGACACCGTAGAAAGCAAACAATAAAGAGATGCTAAACTATCCTGTCATTCAACACTGCAATCCTCGGAAGTTGTCTCTATGTCAGTTGGTATAAGTGCTGGTGCAGAGAAACTAGGCCAGTCCCTGGGCAGAGTTATTGGGTATCAAACAGCACAGGCTGTCTTGGGACAGGGAATAGGGCAGTGGAGGGCAGTTGAGAACATGGTAGAAAGAAAGCTGGTTTTATATGGCAGTCAGCAGAGTGGGGACATAAGCTGATACAGACTGTCTGGATTGACTGGGTGCCCCTGCCCAAGGTAGTTGACCTTTGCAGGAGGTTAAGGGAAGTTCCTGGAGGGTTAAGGGTGGTTTCTGGCAAATAGGAGTGGGCCTTAGGAGATCTACTTTTCTAGTAAACAGAAACCACGCCTTTAAGCTTTAGTCATTCCATTTACCTGGCCAAAGTCCTGTTTAGGACAGTGTCACTCTTCCTGCCATGGGGGAGGGGGCGTTTGCACTGAATCATTGGCAGAAGTTGAGAAGACTTCTGCACTTCTCAAGAACCACTTAAATCAGGGATGTTTTGGATGACAAGAATTTTTTGTACATCAAATGAAACACTGATTAGAAAGCACTTAGAAAATTTTAAATTTTAAATTTAAAAATTTAGAAAATTTTAAAGAACTATGCATGTTAAGGCGTATCTTAGGATCTGCTTGGCCTGTTATTTGGCCATATCGGCTCATTTCTTTTCCTCACACAGTGGAGCATGGCTATGTGAACATGCCACCTTTATAAAGAAGGAGCCAGGCTTTGGAAATCTATTAATATTATTTCTCCCAAGATGACACAACAATCGAGAATTGATGACATTCATACATAAATATCTTCCATTTTAAGCCCAATTTCTTAGCCCCTGCCATTCTGCCTTCAATTCTACAGATACAGATGATGTATGTGTCTAATCCTCATGACAGTTGGATGAGGTAGGTTCTGTGTTAAGACCTACCAAAGTCTTACAAGAATAGTCTGCCACCTAAAGTATCACAACTTAAGGGGGAAGGAAGTGGGGGTCAGCACTGCAATCTCCAGTGATGCCTCGAACGTGATAGGTGATACTCTTTTTCTTCTCTAACTTTGGGCCTCCTATGGCCATTATGAAATTGAAGAATAAACTATGTTGTATTGATCTAAGCATTCACTTGAGTCTCCTTAGACATTACTAACGGAAGCCAACTAACAGCATTTAAATATCTAATATGCAGTGTCAGGGTGTTAAGTATACAGCCACTTACAGAGTTAGGGTAGAAGTTACCTCAGACATGAAGCCTGGTGTCCCAGCTCTGCATTCTATGAAACTAGGTTCTGTAGTTTATTTTGAGACCAAAGGCCATTTGGTCTTCACCTTTTTTGATCTGTTCTGGTTATCGGTGTGATGATTTGCAGACTCATTGGTATATTATTAGCTGCACTACCAGTTGTTGAGAGGGACAAAGGACACTACTGAAGGCTGGGTGGCTCACAGGTATTTGCCATAATTACCTGTACAAGGCTGGCTTCTAGCCTGATCTACTCAAAGTACTGGCATCCCTTTCATATTTGCATTGAAAGTTTACATTTATATAATATAGCTGAGTTTAAGTCATCATGTATTTTATGTATTTTTTTTTGTTTTTTTTTTGTTTGTTTGTTTTTCGAGACAGGGTTTCTCTGTGTAGCCCTGGCTGTCCTGGAACTCACTCTGTAGACCAGGCTGGCCTCGAACTCAGAAATCCGCCTGCCTCTGCCTCCCAAGTGCTGGGATTAAAGGCGTGTGCCACCACCACCCGGCATTTTATGTAATATTTAGGTATAGCTGTTTTTGTTTTTGTTTTCTTTTGGGGAGGGGGATGTTGTTTGTTTATTGAGTCAGTAGACTAGCTAGCAGCTTGGAATTTGATATATAGACCAGGATGGCCTTGAACACACAGAGATATTCTTTCCTGTACTTCCCAAGTGCTAGGCTTAAATGTTTATACCTCTTCATCAGGGAATATGGCTATTTATAAATGAGTGGGTTTCTACATTTCAGGTGTCAGATTTGGTGATAATTCTGAATTATGACAGAGCAGTAGAAGCCTTTGCAAAAGGTGGGAACCTGACCCTTGGAGGGAATTTTACTGTAGCAGTTGGGCCCCTAGGCAGGTGAGTAAAATATTCTAAACTATAAAGACAAAAAAAGTCATAGCTTTTTTTACATTAAGAAGAAATTTAAGTTAAAATGAACACGCATGATTTCTAAAGTTTTTCATAAGCACAGGCCATGCTTTCTGTTGAATTGAGATCAAATTTTCTGTAAGTGTAGTCAAGTTTTATTGACCGATAAAGGGTCTAAGTGTTCTGGAATAAAAGGGATTTTAAGTAAATCATTAGACTGTGAAATGGTTGAATCTTATTGAGAAGCAGTTATAACACTGATTTTATTTTCCTTCTCTGTTAACGAAACAGTATTCTTGCATTAGTACTCATGCTAGAGAGTTACAATTGCTGCCTACTCATGAAAGCTAAACAGCCATCTGGAATGCTCTCTGTAAGAAGAATCCATGTGCAGCACTCCTCTCTGCTTGAGAGGACTACTCTCAGATCTCTCCCAGCAGACTGTCAGCCCTTCTGCAGCAGGTTCATGTGATAGATCTCCCCACAGCTGCCTTCTCTTCAAGACACATTACAGCCCTAGCTCAGCCAAAGAAAGGCATGACCTAGGAAGACAGGCCTTGTGACTAAGTGCCAGCAGTGAGCAGTCATTTTGGTTCTGCCATCTTTTTGTAGGAACCTTGAGGGCAATGTGTCCCTGAGGAGTTCTGCAGCCGTCTTCACGTACTGCAAATCCCGGGGCCTATTTGCTGGTATCTCCCTTGAAGGAAGCTGTCTAATTGAAAGGAAAGAAACCAACAAGAAGTAAGTTCATACAGGGTGACTTTGATTGATTTTTTTTTGAAGTATTCGATGAGAAGATAACACTTCAAAACTTGTCATAGTTTAAGAGTTTGCAAGTATATTTGTATTATCATTTAAATACAACAAGGTTTATATTTAAAACTTATGAAATTAGTGTTACTTGGGGCTGGAGAGATGTCTCAGCCATGAAGAGTACTTGTTGCTCTTACAGAGGACCTAGGTTTGTTTCCCAGCACCCTCATGGTGGCTTACAACCACCAGCAAATTTCAGTTCCAAGGGATAAGACACTTCCTTCTTACCTTTGAGCACACCAGACAAGCATGAAGTCCACATAGATACACTCAGACAAAACACATAAAGTAATAATGAAGTCATTAAAAATTTCAAAGAGTAGTATATGCTTATGAAAATAAAACTTAGACAAAATAAACAAAACATGTAATATTTTTCTTACTAATACTTTTCAACTACCTCCTTTTTCTCTTTTGTCTTCTTTTGCCAAATAAGATTGCAATCATGGCACATATTCAATTGCAGATGTAGATTTTTTTTTTCTGCTTGGCACTGTAATGAGCACAACCATAAGTTGTTGGCCAGGTAACATATACTAGGTGACAGTATGACATCATCATGCTTTGTAGTGATCACAGCAAATAACACTGTGGCTCTGTCAGAAGTACCTCACTATGAAAGATTTCCTGTCACTACACTCTGGATTGTCTTCTTCCATACCAAATAGAAACCAATTTTGATTCAAAACCCAATTTGATTTTTAAAATATTTGTTGCTATCTCAGAGCTTCCTTAATCTTGTATCTGGACAGTTTTTTCCTCAAATGAGTCTTAGAGATTGAATCCAGCAGACTACAGAATCACACACCCAAGGGGACCAGCGTCTGAATGACTGACAGGGCCCTGCCGATATGGACAGACATTCCGCTGAGTTCAGAGTAAATGCTCCTACCAGACTCACACCAATCTTCCCAAGAGTACAATGTCATACTGCTACCATGCATATACACCAGAACTACTAGTCTGAATGAAGGAAATTAAATTTATCTTATACAAGCACAAGTGATATGTTTGTCCACTTCTAGTTTCATGAAGATGAAAATGCTTTTAGAAACTCCTAATTCTAGGCAATCTTCTTCCTAAATCTCAGCTAAATCTTAGTAAACCTTAACAAGTAATCAATTAATGAACTAGAAATCCTCCACTTAAAACAGACATTTTAAAGAAATTACAAAGCTATATATAGGACTTCTTTTATAGAAAAGCATAAAGATAAAGCTTATGAAATATATGTATTTCATATGTTTATGTATTTCTATGTAATTATGTCTGTGTGTACATGGGTACTTTGTATGTTTATGTCTTTCTATGTAATTACATCTGTGTGTATATGTGTACTTTGTATGATTATGTATTTCTATATAATTATGTCTGTGTATAAATGTGACATGCGTTTTGTATGAAGAAAATATCAGTGTTTACATTCATTAACTGAGAAAGTGAGCTTGGGATGAGTAGTCTAAGAATTAAACATGGGGTAAGACTTGTAGTATATGATGTATTTCATAAGAATGATTACACATGTATGTGGATGTGCTATATTTATCTCCAAAGCATCTCTGTATGCTACAGAAATGTTCTTAATTTCCTATTTACTAGATTTTACTGCCAGGACATTCGAGCTTATGACATTTTATTTGGAGATGTTCCACAGCCTGCTCAAGCAGAAGATCTTTATGAAATTCTTAATTCCTTCACTGAAAAGTATGAAACTGAAGGACAGCGCATCAACTTGAAGAAAGTAGCACGAGAGCAGAGGAAGGTGCTGTGGCCAAGCGTCTTGCTTCTCTCAGTGAACACAAGGAGTTCAGTCTTAGGACATCCTGTCTCTGCTATCAAGTTCCCAGTGATATACTGAACTTGCTTTATGATTCATTTACGTAAAGTCTTCAAAAATGTCCTAGAGTTTTGACATTGTAGAGATTTTGAGAATAGTTTGTCTTCTCTAATTGTATGTCTCTTAGGATGAAATCTGGCAATGCTGGAGAACCAATTCTATCTGTGCCTTTCTTTCTTTGGTCCCTACTTTGTTCCTGTTGTGCAGAGTGAAACTGAAGTATAGAATTTAAGTTATCACTACCTGTCCCTGCCCAAGTGCCAGAGTGTACTAGACCCCCCCCACACACACACACACACGTCAGAGGGGGAGGAGCCCAAGTGCCAGAGTACTAAACCACACACACATGCCAGAAGAGGAGGGGCTCAGGTGCCAGAGTGTACTAGACCGCACACACATGTCAGAGGGGGGTGGGAGCTCAGGTTCCAGAGTGCACTAGTTCAGCCCACATTAGAGTCTCACATCCAGCCCTGCACCATGCACATGAATTTCTGGGAGCCCAGTTAGTAATTACAAAGGCAGAAACCTGACAAACAGATTGGAGGCAAAATCTTCCTATTCTCATAACTAAAAGCCGATTTTTAAATTTTGTCTATTTATTCTTGTGCCTCCCAGGCCAAAGAATTACCTCCAAAACCATCATCAAGGCCACAGCAATCCCGCCCACCTGTGCAGCTGAATCCTGGCTCCCAGGGTAAGTGCTTCTGCTGCATTTTAAATATAACACTATTTAAATAATTATTAAGTATTAAGAAAACAAGTAACCTTTATTATATTTTGACATCAAATAGAACATTTAAGAGAAAAAATGAAGGTTCAGCATCTTCTAAGCCATGACACAGGCTTTCATACATGAATCTGCACTGTTGTAGTTTGTGAAGACAACTCTCATCATAAGGAATTTTCTTAAATCTACAATGAGATTTATATTTATATTAATTTTTTTTAAAATATGGGGCTTGAAAAATTACTCAGCATTTAATAGCACTTGATGCTCTTGCAGAGGAACCTGTCTCCGTTCCTAGCACCCACTTGGCAGCTCAAAACTTCTGTAATCATATTTCCAGGAGACTGGACCCCCTCTTCAGGTCTCTGTGGGCAATGCACATGTGTAGTTCATATATACACAGGCAAACATTCATATAGATAAAATAAAAATAAAAGAATCTTTAAAACTTCAATTTGTTTTGCTGTATATTCTTAGAAGTACATGGTCTCCGTGAAGTGAACTAGGTATAGCTATGCTGAGAACCAGCCTCAGTCATTTAGGGTTCTCAGGAATGGGAGGATTGGATCAGCACGAACTCAGAGTCTCAGGCAGTGATGAAGGTGCAAACTGACAGGTGACTCATTGCTGTTCTGAAGCTGCACTTGGAAACATCTCTCTCTCTCTCTCTCTCTCTCTCTCTCTCTATCTATCTATCTATCTATCTCGTTCACTCTCCCTCCCTCTCCTTCCTCCCTCCTCCCCCCTCTCTCTGTCCTATCTTCTCTCTCTCTCATGTTCTATTCTCTGTCTGAGTTCACCTCAGTCTTTTATTGATTACACACTTCCTTGTTGTATAATAATACGTAATCAAAAGCCTTTTCATTATTTTCCTCAAGCCCATTAGTTTTCCTGAAAGAAAAACATGCCAACAGAAAGCACAATGCACACACAAAGTCACAGTTCAGTGTCTGCTAAAGCAAGTTGTACATTAACTTTTAACTCTCACAAAAACCTTCAAATCACAGGTCATCTGGGCATAAACTTGTAGTTACAACATTAGCCTGAGAACAGAAAGGTGCAAACAGTCAGTGCAATACTAATATTTTTAACTGAAACTTGCAAAAATTTCTTTATTAAGCACACCCAAATACCTATTTCTACAATGCTTTTCAAGCTTTTCCATATGCAGTGTTAATTCCTCTTGCAGCTCCCCCCAGGGTTCCTTCACAAGATGAAATTCTCTTTAAACTTGTACCCTCATTTCCTTAGGCAGGCGATGCCAGCAGGTCATATCAGTGTGTTCCAGTCTTTCCAGGAAGGCTAGCTCACTAGTCTAGCAGACCCAGCTATTTCTTGTCCCTTGTATTTTCTATGGCTATCCCTGTCCTTAATAACCCAGACTCAGTGTTCCTTTTCCTCGGGGTCTTCAATTCTCTTAACTACTAAAGCTTCAGGTTTCTCAAAAAAGCCATTTCTTGCTTCAAATACCTGCTGGTACAGCTCTGTCCTATCCAGCAGGACATTAAACAGGGGTCCAGGGAGGTCACCTGAAAGAGAGTGGGGGGAGCAGGCAAAGACGCAAGGAAGTGACGACCTGTCTATAATCTGATCAGATCGCCATTTTTACTTTTGCACACACAGGTTATATACACAAAAAGGCAGGATATGGGGAACGGGATGACGCAGGAATGTGGGTGTTCGGGGGAATACAAATTGTCCAAGGAGAGTACAGATATCTTCCAGAACAGAATGTCAGCTGGGTGAAGGTTCAGGGGACAGACCACTATGACTCCGCCTATGATTCACTTGTCCTTATCTAAGTTGGTACTATCCACCAAGGTTACCTATCTACAAGGTCTATGACTAGCCAGGCTTGGCAGCCTTCCACCAAAGCTGCTTGTTTACAATAACTTCTAGCCATCTGTTTCAGTGTTTTTCCACAGAGACTTGGTACTAGCAGGCATGTATGTCAGGCCTATTGCTGATTTTAGGCCTATGGCTGATTTTAGGCCTTCAGTGTATAAGCAGGGCTGCCCTGACACAGCTCAATATATATATATATATATGTGTGTGTGTGTATGTGTGTGTGTGTGTGTGTGTATGTATATATGTATATATGTGTATATATATATATATATATGGCAAAACAGACAAGCACCAAGAAAGTGCAACGCCGTCTGCATACTAGAAAGTCAGAGATTCGCTATGCAGGTTGACTGGTGCTCCTGCAGCCAAAATTATGTCATGCAGCCGCACTGGCAACCATGTCGCACCTAACATAACTAATTTTTTAAACACCCAGGTTTCTTCTTGTCATCATACCTGTTTTAATTTTTAAAAAAATTAAAGCTTTTTTATTAATTATTTATTTACATTTCAAGGTTGTCCCCCTTCTCAGTCCCCATTCCATGAATCCCCCACTGTATCCCACATCCCCCTCACCTCTAAGAGGGTGCTCCCTTATCCATCCACCCACTCCACCTCATTTCTCTATCATCCCCTTTCTCTAGGGTGTCAAGCCTCCACAGGACCAAGCTCATCCCCTCCCACTGAGGCCAGACAAGGTAGTCTTCTGCTACATATGTAGACGGGGTCATGGATCAGTCCATGTATGCTCTTTGGGTGGTGACTTAGTCCCTGGGAGCTCTGAGGGGTCCAGTTAGTTGATCCTGTTGTTCTTCCTATGAGGTTGAAATCCCTTTCAGCTCCTTCAGCCCTTCCCCTAACTCTTCCATAGGGGTCCCAGACCTCAGTCCAATGATTGAATCTAAGAATCTGCATCTGTCTCACTCAGGTGCTGCTAGAGCCTCAGAGACAGCCATGCCAGACTCCTGTTTGCAAGCACATCTTGGCATTAGCAGTAGTGTCAGGGTTTGGTGTCTGCACATGGGGTAGATCCCAAGTTAGGGCAGTCTCTGAATGGCCTTTCCTTCAGTCTCTGCTCCATTTTTTTGTTCCTGCATTTCCTTTAGACAGAAACAATTCTGGGTAAAAAATTTTGAGATAGGTGGGTGGCCCCATCCCACAACTGGGAGCCATGTCTATCTACTTGACGTGGTCACTTCAGGTTCCATCTCCCCACTGATGGGCATTTCAGCTAAGGTCATCCCAGCTGAGTCCTAGAAGCCTCTCACATCCTTGGTGTCTGGTACTTTCTAGTGGTTCAACCAGTCCCCCACCCCACACTGCTGCATGTTTCTATTCATTCTCCTGGCACTCTGGGTTTCTCTCCTGCCCCCCCTTCCACTTTATTTTTTATCATATAGATATGTGTGTATGTATATATGCATATATGTGTTTATGTATATGTATATATGCATATATACATATTATGTATATGTATAATCTTTACATCCCTTCCATTCTTTTCCCATTGTGTATATATAGAATCTTTCCATCCCTTCTTCCATGATGTTCCCTGTGCCTTGTTCACAGGGCACTTGTATTGTATTGTATTGTATTGTATTGTATTGTATTGTATTGTATTGTATTGTA